ATTTCAGCATGTCATTTAATGAGACATGTCTACGGCTTGTGAACCAAAATTCTCTGTGGTTCTACACTGCACTGTGAGCCAAAATTTTATTTAAAAATATAACACTTTTTTTTTTTTTAATTACAAACTACAGATGTCTTATTTCAATAGCCAACTATACTAAAAATAACACTAATATTATTAATACTACAACTACTACTAACAATAATTACACGCTCAGATATCCTTATAATGGGATAACCATGTCTATCCCTAACAGGTAGCTGGATGACACTGGCTGCAACTGCAGTCTTCAGAGTCCACAGAATGACTCAGGGCCCTAGAGCCAATGATTGTCAGCTGGGCTGTGCCTGACAGTACCAGCCTCCTTTAACCAAGCCTTACTGCAGCTCAAAGACCTGTACTGTGTGTATGACGGCCACCATTACAACAGCTCAGAGAACTTCCTGACCCTGACAGAAGAGTACACATTCTGCAATATGCTCGCCTTGCTTGCCGAGTGTTAGTAAAACAAATGCTGAAGACATTCCTCAGGATTCTGCCCATGCTGATTATCCCAGTCCAAACGGAGCAGATAAATTTCAGGTCGCCAAGGGAGTCTCCAACACTGCAGTCTGATAGGAGTAATTACACCCTCCTAAACATTCCTTTACCATAGAGCACTAACATGCACACAGTGACCTGGAGCATGTCAAACTCTAAAAGCAAGGAACTCAAAGAGGGGTGTCTTAGAAACATCCCCTTTGGGAATACATCTACCTCTGTTCCTTTTGCAGCAAGTTATAACAAGGACTGAATATGTTTAAACCACAGATTCAACACAAACACACAGTGGGAACAGTGTGTGATGACTTTCCAAAACTCCAAAATGATCAGAGTGGAAAGGTTCCCCATTAGAGCCATAGAATCTCAGTAATTAAGTGTCATCAATGAAGCATAAAGTAGGCCACTTTCTCATCGTGTGCATATGTACCAGCACTCCAATTAAAAGAACCAGGAGCCCAGAACTTGTTCAAAGTATGCCTTCAATCATGTTCAGTAGCTGCTCAAAGAAAAAAAAGCTTGCTGGAACGAGCAGATGTATTACACATCCGAACTGCAAGTGATGCAAGGGAGATTTCTTCAGGCCTGCTGTACACCATGCCCCTCTTCCTCCATATTTTAAACCACCCCCCACCCCCCCACCCCCCCCACCCCAAAACAGAACAAAAACAGCACAAAAAAAAGGAAGACACTAAAATAGAGCTTGTGTTCACTCACCAACACATACACACATAGGTTTCCTGTTTGAAAAGGATACACTTTGATGGCTCCTGATTTAGTTCCAATGGCCATAAGCTGCAGTTTTGGGTCGTATGCCAAAGCACTCGGCTGGTTGGGGAATCCATGTTCAACAGTCTGGATGAAAGGAAAAGAAAGCGTATGCTTCAGTTCATCCACTGCACACAGTCTGACTGTGATGCGACACTAGCTCAGCATTTTGACATCTCATTATACTCCATTATAATGAGGCAGCAGGATGAACTTTATAAGCAACATCAAAAGCTGCCTAATTGCACTGAGTCTCATACGGAACGATTAATCAGGCGAAACATTAGTTAAGTAGGCTTATCCAACACTGTCCAAACTGGGACGGAATTTCTGCCCAGAAGACAATGCAAGAAAATAAGAGTATAATAATGCATTGTGATAATAACGCATTGTGATACAATGTGCATTGTACAGAATGGACATTCTATTAATTGTGCCATTTAATCCAACTGCAGCTCACTCCAGTACTCCTCCTGCCTCCCAGCTCTAGTGTCCTTAGTAAGTTGTGCAATATCATTAGAATCATCATTTTGCTTCATTCAAATTTTGTTCAAAATATCATAAGAATACTGAATCGTGTACCCAGTGTCATGGATTGAACTGAACCGTGGGCTGAGCATTGCACTTCTAGAAGAAAAGCTAAGCAAAGGAAGCAAAATTTTGAACAAATTTTCACCAAACCAGCCATGAAATGTTTGAGGAACATGGGCTTGGCATTAAGTGGGCAGCAGCTGCTTTGGCACCAGATGATGAAGTGTGACATGATAAATGACTGGCCCATCCTAAGACATTTCACACTGTGTCAAGATGCCTCATCAGATTCACACAGATGCCGTCACCCTGGCCGCCACTGCTCTTCTTCTCTGAGCTACAATGTGAGAGTAACAAGACTAGCCAAGTGAACATGGTTCTACAAGGGTTCTTTAGAAAAAGGAATGGATCTATTTGCAGACCATGATATGATGGATAATATGTTCAATATGCTTCTTCATTCGACCTTTTTTTGAAAATGGTTCTATATAGCATCAAAAAGTGTTCTTCTACTGTTACAAGCTTGGCATTGTAACAACAGCAGAACCCTTTTTGGTGCAATATATAACCATTTTCAAAACAGAACCATATAAAACATATTCTCCATTGATCTGAAGAATCATTTCACCATGCAAAAAGGCAAATACAGAACTCGTGGTTCTAAAAAGAAACATTTCCTTTACTAAAGAACCCTTGGAGAACCATCTTTTTTTAAGAGTGTAGGCTGTTTCTGAAAGAGTATAACATTTCGAGTTGGTCCTTAGACTTACACCCCTTTAACAAAGATGGAGCCAAAATGTGACAAAGTGCTATCAGTATAATGACATAAGGCAACCTGGTCCCACTTCTTCATGTCCATCTCTGGGAGAACTGTCTTATCTTAATGAAGATGTTACGTGTCTCATTACACAACAAATTTCACCAACTTTTACAGCTTGGCAAACGTCCCAGACCTCTCTCTATTGTGTTCACACATAATATGACTTGAGATTTCGGCATTCAGTGTTGAGAGAGGCAGGTGATACGCAAATTAGGCCAGAACCTTACTCTGATTGTTTTAGCCAAGCGTTTAAATATACTGGACAAACAACAGATAGCATGAGTGTGGAGCAGCTGGAGTGGTCCAAGCTGTGCATGTTTATCGAGCAGAGTACAGAAAAGTTTAAGCTTTTTATTTAGCTCCAAACAGCAATGTTACACAGAGCACTACTGGTGCGTGGTGGGGGGCGGTGAGGAGGACTAAAACTCAAAAAGACAATAGCACATAAACAACTCTGACGATACGATTGAAAATCAAACTTGGGCGTAAGAGAGAACAAACTTACAGCAGGCGACACTGCTTATGACTGTTTCAACAACTTTAGGCGTATTTTTATTGACTCAGGCCAATAAAATGTTAGACTAGTGATGAGCAGTTGACAACGCAACATTTCTCAGCAACCACAGAAATACGTGCAGACTAGTTTACATTTTATGACCGCGCAAGCAAAGAGCTCACAGAGAAAACCGTCGGCTAGTCTTAAAACGCTCAGCGGGCCGATTTCCAGCCCAGCTCCGAACTGCACGCCTGCTCTCGGGGAGAGAGGGAACACTAGCCCCATGTCTCACCTACCTTATTGAATGCAAAAAGGTCCTGCTTTATTTTTTCTCTCTGCGGGTCGTTTCCCTGCCGTCTGAACCTAAACTTCATCATCCTGAAGCCGGCACAATGTACCAAAACCCGCAGCGTCTCAGACTGTGAACTCCGTGAAGGTTTGAATCGATGCTAAACAAACAGCCAGCGTGCTCCCATACAGTCTCCCCGTCTCTCTCCCCCTCTCTCTCTTTTTGTATCCACTCCTCAAAGCCGAGCAACTATTCGCCTGTGTTTATGCAGTTTGACCACAGGGCAAGTTCACAGGAACCACGGCGAAGGGGTCCAATCACAGGACGAGAATCGGCGACCAATCCACTAAAACACGCCCCGTCCTTCACTGCGGATCCAAAAAAAAAGGTCCGGACTGCGGCGGACCGGATTCTCTTTCGCGCTGACTATAATTAACAGGCGTCAGAGCCAATTAAAATGCAGAAAAGATTTTGTAGCATCCAATCAGAACAGTCGGTGAGATCAAACCGCTTAACTACGCTTCAAATGTAACGGGCTTAAGATACTGGACGACAAGCAATCCTGCCTCTTGATTGGCTGTGAAACTGAAGGAGAAGTTGGACAATTGCCAATCCTGCTTCCTCTAGTTTAGTTAGCTTGATTGCTGTTGATTAAAAATTTAGAAGCAAGTCGTATGTAAACGGTTTACATTCATTTATTTATAAGCCATGGAGTCAAAATCCCACATATATTCGCTAATGATGAGGTAAGACATGGTAAATTGAAAAAAAAGGAATCAATAAAAATAAGTCCCACTATATTTTGACAGCCCCCATTAAATTCTTTATAGTGGATCAGATTATTTACAATCTGGTGAAATTCAGTTCATTCTCAGCAGTGTTAGGGTTAGGATTAGGATTAGTACTACACTATGAGAAATAAAGATACAGCGCAGGTACATTTCTCATTCATCAAGGTACAAACAATGTAAATGGATATACCCTTAAAGGTACAATAATGGTTTTAAGGTCCAATTGTGTACCTTAAATAAGTTTTTCCTAGTGGAAATGTACATGTTTGTGTCTTTTCATAACTAATGTTTTAAAACAGAATAATAAAAAGCCTAGAAACAAGGGTGTGTGGAGTCAATACAACTTAGAAAATATAATTTTAATGGATTTTGGCACAATTATGTTCCCTGATTAAAGGTACTGAGATTTAGCCTTAAGGGTATCACCCCAGTGACAAGAGGGGTACTGCCCCAGTGACAAGTTTCATACCTTTTTTTTGAGACAGTAAGGTTAGGTTTAAAGTTTTAATTAGTGTGAGTTTAATATATATTTATTTGAATATAAGTTAAATGCAAGATTTTTATCTACAAAGCATCAGCAATGGGCTGTCCAAATACCAGTGTTACCATAAACTGCTTCCAGCAGTAAACATATATTTCTCCATAAATATGATGCCTCCAAAAATTTTGTTATTTTGATTTAGTATCATAAAACAAAACTTAACTGACCTAAAATAAGCTCCTGTTTCATCCTGTATTTGCAAAACATAAACATTTCAGTGATGTTTTCAGTGAATGGGATATAACACAGAAAGAGTTTTCAGAGTTTACTAGTTTGTAAAAATTTAATATTAACAACTAGAATTATTTTATATACACATACAGTTTTTGAACATAAGACACAAATACATTATGTACATCTGGACACCACAGTTTAACAAGTGCAAATGATTTAAGAGACAGCAGCAGAAACATGGCATACTTGAAAATAAAGAAAATAATCACAGATATTCATAGTAAAGCCTTTTTATACCTTCTGTTATACTTCACAGAGTGAAATCACAGCCTGTATGATCATATGGAAATGAAATCTTCAGCGTGTGAGGTAGTGACAATGGGCCTCACTCACCAATATCTTCCAAAGTTTTTTCTTTAATTTGTTCTTGAGAAAGGGCCTAAGAAAAAAGTCTACATCATATTCGTGATGTGTTTTAAACCATGGGATTGTTCGCTCCTTTGTGCTCTTGAGTGGGTGTAGATTCTGTTCTTACCTAGGAACAAATCCCAAGAAAACGTTGGTAAATGTCGGAATCTTCATTAAAAACTACGTAACTGGATTTTAAGAAGAATTTTTTTCTTAACAACAGTTGGTGAATGAGGCCTTATGTCATCTTAAATCAAAAAATCAGATTTGGCCCTAAAGTGAGTTTAACCACTGTTATGCTAAGATTGGAATTTGGCTGTTGTAATTAGTGTGTTATCACTATTGACGAGGTTCTGAATTGTGTGAGTATTTTTGAAGGCATGCTAAAGCAGAGTGATCTCGCTGGGAGGAAGAGTGAGTCTTTTCTCCCGCACTGACAGCATGTTCTCCATGTGCATGGCAACGACACGGCACAGCTCCAGACTCTGCAAAGTGACACACACAAGGATCATTCAGTACTCAGAAATCATCCACATGGGCATTTAGCCATTTGAAAAAGACTTGCTTTATGAATATCCACATGAAAGTATATGATCCTGATTCAACTCAAGCTTATAAAAGACCACAGTATCCTACCCCAGATTAAGTTTTCCTAGTTAATATAATGACTTTTGATGAACATCTACAGATGATACCTGGTCTAAGTGCAGCTGTGTGATGCGTTGAGACATTAGATCTCCCAGCATTATCTCAACATAAGGGTAACTGGAACCAGCTGTAGGCCTCTGGGTCCTTGTGGACTGCACCTCTTTCAGGGGGAATTTCACTATCAGCTCCTGGAGAACAGGAAATTAGTCCATCAATAGTATCTTCTTTTTTAACAATAAAAATAATGTCATGTTGCCAGTTTACTTACATGTGTTTCTTTGTTTAGAAAGTTCAGTCCATTTTGATTGACAGCCAGTATGCAGGGGCAATCAATGGAGCTGTTGCTGCTGCTCTGTATGTAGAAGAACGAGGAGCCAAACATGGGGAAGGCGCTCACAAGTCCTATAATGATAGTTTAAAACAGTGGACATAAATATGGTATACCATGAACATTCACATTCATGTCTTTCTCTTCCTCATTACTGTTTTCTAAGACAAGCGCCATAGTAATATACTGGATTTGTGAGTTCCTCACCCAGGAACTGGGCTCTGGCCTGATGGGGGCTAAGTGCCTGGACCTGTTGCATGTGCTCGGTCACCATGTTCAGCCACTGCTGGGGGCGCTGCTGCCCATACAGCTGGAGAGGCATGCAGTCCTGGACCTCACGGCTTACAGGTGTGGAGAGAAGGGAGAGGTTATTGAAAAGAGGAAGACGTAAAGGGGAATTCCAGCCTAAAAAATCCATGACTTTGTATTCTTTTTATGCATTTTCATCCATCAGTGTTCTCACATTACTAATAAATACAGATGTAAGATTCGGCTTCCTAGCAGTACTGTTAGTCATCTGGCTTATTTCATTAGCCAGCTAGCAGGTAAAACATTTCAAACAGCCCACCATTGTCGTCTCTTGCCTAATTACAGCATATTTTGACATGTTCTGTTTGAAGTAAATTATTTAAAGACAATGAAAAATGTGCTGTATTAAAAGACGAAAAAAGAGAAATAATTTTGCATGATGTCATTGTTCACATCCCAGTACACTTGAACCAAGCCATTAAGAACACTAATTAGCTGGTACAGGTGTACTAGGAGTTAGGTTCGAGCAAAAATACGGACAGCTCAAGGGACCCTGAGTCAGTGGTCTGTGTAAGTTGTTGTAATGTAAGGCAGGCATGCCCAGTCGTATCCACAAAGGGCCAATGTGTTTGCAGGTTTTCATTTCAAAGTGCGCACACACCATTAGTTGTTTGATTGATTGAGACCGCTTGATTAAAGAAATTGAATCAGATATACACCTGCTTGTCTGAAATTAAAGCCAAGCTTTAGCCTCACTGGCACTGTGGATTGTACACTTCGGATGTAAGGCAACTGAATGCTGAATTACATGGTAGGAAGATAAATGGAGTCCTTGGCGCGATGTTGCAGGGCAGCCAATTTTGACACCTGCTGAAGCTGCTGCTCACTGGCCTTCCCCTGTGGCACAACATTGAGAAGTCCTTTTAAGTAGTCAGGGGCAACCTGCAAAGCAAAACACATCAAAAGAAATGCCCCCAAGTCTGTGAAAAAAGCCAAATTAATAAGCACATCAATGCGTCACACACCTTGCTACTAATGCAACATCTATGAAAAAACTTGTTAAAAAATTACAGGTGAGTGTAGTTTGCACCATATTCATACCTGATTGTAATGGACTGTGACTCCAAGCTCATTGTCAAACTTTAGTGGCTGATTCCAGATCACTCTTCTAAACCACAGACTGTAGTTGCTGTCAATAGGCTCTGCCTCGGTGACAATATCCAAGATGTACTCTCTTTTGTTCAATGGCCGAACATTCTGACCTACAGTTTGAGAGAGTGACCAACTCATTTTTGCCCTCTGATCAATTCCTATTATGTATCAAATGACATACATTTCATTCACTCATTCAGTTATCAAAAATCCGAATAGGGTGTGAATAGGTGAATAGGGTAATTTTTAAACAACAGATAACACAGTGAATCTTTGCCAGTTGATTACTGACATTATTACAGGTAATCTATTGTACTGGAATTTCTGCAAAAACATTACATCTAAATATGCAAATGTGAAGACACACTCCAGAGAAAGGATTTCACAGATTATTGAAATCTATTGTTTTATTGTTTAATCAAGAAAATACTATGCACTGTTATTATGAAATGATTTCATTTTGTAGTATATAGGCTAGAAGTAGTATATCCAGCAATAAGCAATATATTGAAAAATGCTCCTTCAGAATATAAAGGGTGATTCAAAGATTCATTCGATTTCAAAGCACCATATTTTCACAACCATTAGGCACCTAGGAACCAGTCACATACCAATCGAAAGAGGGGGTCATAGAGTTTCTGACTGTCACCAGAAGATGGCTCCCTTCAGACTGTGAGGAGATGGCAGTAATATTGAGCACTTGTAAAATTACATAAACTTTATGCTCACTTAAACCACTTACAATTGACTGCATTGTTCTGTAATGATTTACAAGTGAAATAAATCATTTTAAAATCGGATGAATCTTTTTGAATCACACTATTTGGGAATGAACATTTAAAATGTCATGGATGCAAACATTCTACAAGCTTGCTACAAGCAAGAGATTTTTGGTTCTGAATGCAGAGAAAAACTGATTTTGAGAAAAAGCTTTAAGAATGGGCCTCAGAATTGCATTAGCCAGTGAGATATCATGCATTATTTGTTTGAATGTTGTCATTAGCCACACCCATTCCACAGGTGTATAAAATCAACCACATGGCCATACAATCTCCATAGACAAGCAATGGCAGGAGAATAGGTCATACTGAAAAGCTCAGTGACTTTAAACGTGGGACTGTCAAAGAATGCCACCTTTGCCATAAGGCAGTAGACCAGTGGTTCCCAAACTGTGGTACATGTACCCGTCGAAAAACACTGGGGGTACATCAAAAAATGTTCACATTAATCTTCATTTAACTTAATTTCATCAACTGGCTGCACAATTAAGCCGGAACTTCTCAGATAACAGCAACACAAAGAAGCTTCCAGCACATGGCGAACCCGTGTTCTAATAGTAATTTCCTCTTTCATCATAAGGTTGTATAAGAGAAGAAAGTGTTTCACTCTGGCCCCTTCTGAGCTCTGTGCGTTCAGTTTATCGCGTGCTGCTGTGTGCGTGAATGAAGCATCCTTTACTAACTGTTGTTAAGGCCTGTATGATGCTTGTTAGTTTCATTTTCACAGACGCAGTTTTAGTGAGTTATCCGTTAGTAGCTGCTGTAATTAGCACTTAGCATTTTGCTGTTAGCATTTCGGTCACAAGCCAACACTGGATTCTGGAGAAGTGGAAACGTATTCTCTGGAGAGATGAATCACGCATCACATGACAATTTTATGCTTCCAACTTGTGGCAACAGTTTGGGGAAGGCCCCTTTCTGTTCCAGCATGACTGTACTCCTATGTTCAAAGCAAGGTCCATAAAGACACAGTCTGACGAATTTGGTGTGGAGAAACTCTGGTGGCCTGCACAGAGCCTGAACCTCACAAATGCTCTTTTGACTGAATATGCACAAATTCCCAAAGAGACACACCAAAATCTTGTGGAAACCCTTCACAGAAGAATTGAGGCTGTTATATTGTATATATTAATGCCCGTTGTTTTGGAATGGGATGTCCTACAAGCTCATACAGTCAGGTGTCCATGTACTTCTGGCCATTTAGCATATATAACATGATGTGGTTGTGCCATGTGCGTATCTAAGCCTAAACTGTATTTTTCAAGACTTTTGGAAAATAAAGTTAGACGCTAGTGGACATAAACTGAACGAACATTCTGAAATAAATATATTTCTGTTGATTTTTGACATTTTTGTGTTCACAAAGAGAAAACATGTTATAGATGCAAAAATCTGAAAAATATTTGAAATGACCGGACCAAATCATCATTTAATCTAGCCTTAAACATATGTTCTCACCTCTGTTTGTGACAACAAATATGGCATATTCATCCATGGCCTCCTGGTTGTGTAGGCCCATCTCATAGCACAGCTCTTCAATGGCATCCAAAGCAACCTATATATAGCAGTAACGCTCGTACAAATAGCTCAAATATAACGTAATGAACATAAAGTAAACTCTCAAAGCAAGTGAAAAAGTAAAAACTCACTGAGCAGGTCTTAATTTTCAGATGACGCTCAATCCCACCAGGCAGGAGAAACAGCTGACGTTTGGAGCTCCTACCAGCCTAGAGCATAGTGAGGTAGAATTTAAGCAGGGGTAGGAACAACCCTATTGCTTGATTAAAGAACAAATACAAATACAAATAACTCACCAACATAGCCTTTAGTTCCATGCTGTTAGGATACTCAATACGCCCGCCGTACTGGAATGTCTTCCTTAAATTCTGCTCACAAGCGTTGGCAATACCTGGCAAGAATAAGCATCTTCTCATGTTTACACAGTAGTTCAACTGAAATTTTTAAACTGTTCAATTGCAACATTCATCATACCTTGAAAGTGGACTCCTGGGCTTGCACAGACATCTTGGAGGTATTTCAGCAGATAAGGCTTCAGTACTTCTGAGCAGCGATAGTATGCAGTGAGGATGTAAAGGAGCCTCCATCCCCTTTGACAACTGTCCCTGAACAACACAAAACTCTAATATCACTTTACCAGGCCAGCTGATTAATGTCCAAGTATTAAATTTTTCCAAAAGCAGAGAAAACTGAGTTTATACGTTTTGGAACTGGTGTTTCCAGTGACCTGCTTGAGGACCTGGCAGAACGCTTCATCCCTCATTAAACCATATTCGCCACTCAGCTGCCAAAGAAATATAACTCACATTAGAGAAGAACCTGATTCTTTTTAGAAATGACTGACAGCAGATCTATTTTGTAATAGGGTGGCTTGTTTTCATGTACCCTCAGTATGGTGCTGACGATGTCTTGCTCAGTTTGGCCTTTCATTGGGTAGTCCCCCATAAACTTCATTATAGCTGGAAAAAGTTTCAGACAGGAAGACATATGAGATGCTTATCAGTTTTATGCAGATAGATAGTTCAGATGCCTTTGTCTTTTTCTCAAATTTTAAACAGCAAAAAACATGATCTTTTAATTTGTGATTTGTAATGCATTCATGTGTAAAAATAGATAGGGATGCTAGCTAGGAATCTCCTAGTCACACAATACTACCAACACTGGAATGGTAAAGGCTAAAACAAACTTCCTCCAAATCATGTGAAACTGCATCTTCTTTTTCACATGAGGTTACCTTAAATGAGGAAATAATGGTAGAACTATGTTCCGTAAGTAAAGAACTTGAAGAATGTTTGGGGGTGCCTCCCCAGTGACTGTTTAGCATCTTTTTTTTTCTGAGATACTATTAACACTGGAATGGTAAAGCCTAAAAAAAGCTTCCTCCAAATCATAATGTCCTTTTTGTTGACTCTCTTGCAGTCTTTAAACTGTGTCAGACTGAAAACATGTCTTGTTTTACAGCACTTAAGAGTTCGTTTAGGTATTTATTGTAATGTATTGTACTGCACTTATTGAAATGTATTGTATTGCGCTATATTTAACTCTGTCTCTTCTCTACGTATCAACATGGGCTTTTGTTTCTAGCAATATCTGAGCTCAGGACAAGCTTTCTCTCTAACCTATTTGTAACTAGCAAAGATACTTTCTCTAGGTAGACAACAAAGCACTTTTTGTAAGTCGCTCTGGATAAGAGCATCTGCTAAATGCTGTAAATGTACATGTAAAGTTTTACATTAGACAGTAGTACAGTCCTAAGCATTAGATCCCCAAAAAACAGGAATACAAAAAACATGATCATGTGACAAGTAATGCAGGTGTAAAGAGAAATACAGTCAAATTAAACATCCAAAGACATATTACACCAGAAATTTACACCAGGAATCTTTTCCATGTTGATCAGATACCCTAGCTAACAAACTTTCATATGAGGTAGTTCTACCATTCTTTCAGGTCAGGTATTTTAGAAGATTTCTAGTGTCTCAAAATTATTGCAGCCAATACCAGGTCTGTGTATTTGCCCTTGGTTAAATTTGTCACAGTCTGTCTATCGCCCAGCAGACACAACTGTGGACAGACTGGTAAGACTTTCCCAATCCAAAAACACCACAGCATCTTTTTAAATTGCCGCTAATCCAACACCATTGAACAGCTGAATGTGCTTAAAGGAGAAAGCAAGCTGCCAGTTCTGATATGTCAGTTAACAGAGGACTGCAATGGCTATCATCACACTAAGTGATATAGGGAGGACCATCCTACCTACCACCCTGAGAGAGAGAGAGACCAATTATGCCCTTTTGGACCTCTGCCCACGGATGGCTGTGGCATCACTGGGGATCGAACTCACGATCACCCAATGCTAGTGCTAACGCTTAGATTGTTACACCTCTTCTCTTTTGTTTTTATAAATAATGGGATTTTTTTTTATTCATTTAGAAAGTGATGTTCTATAAATATAATATTCAAGTACTGGAATTTAGTTTATTATTGCAATGATGTTCAAAACAATAAACTGTGAGTCCGACACTTACCCAGAAAAATGTCTGCAGCCACCTTGTTCATATTTTCATCTGTGAACTCAATCAAGGACTGCTGGATAGGAGACTTTTCAAAACACCAAATACAATCAATGCCATGTAATAACAGAATAATTGGTATGGGATTTTTTAATTACAGCCTACAAAAGGTACTTAATTTTAATAAAATACTGCAATAAATTACATCAACTGCATCATTATTGTGTACCTTAGAAAATTTCACCATATCTGCTGGGTCCTTGGCTTCTTTTCCTTTCTTTGATTTCTGCTTATAAGAATCACTGTAAAATATGCCAATGGCAATAACAGGATGTCTGTTATTGAAGTATAACTGTTTCTCTGGTTCTTGACAGCCCACTCCATCCACTATAATAGTCACACTGTATGTTCTATTTAAAGTAATTGGCTGACCTGGTCTTTCTCTGAGCATCTCTGAAATATTTTTTGGCAAACTCCAACATGTTGTATTGGCTGTCATGCAGAATCCTTTCATCAATCTCCATGTTACTGTAGTCTTGATGGGCCTCTGTATACTCACTGACTGGCGAGGCCACCTAGAGGGGAGAGACACTATGTTATTAACAAATCCTTTTTTTAATGCTGAGTAAAGCCTTACAGAAGCTATTTAATGCAATCTGTATCACATCCAGTATTTTTGGAAAAACATGTTGCTGGAATACTGCAAATGTTCAATCTGCAGTATTCAGGCAACATGATCCTACTACAAGTATGTTTCTCAGAAAAAGTCTGTAGCCTCACAAAATTGTAAAGAGACAGAGAGGAATACAGATAAAGTCATAATTTGACTGCTATGAAAGTCCTATGAAATGAGAGATGCGAGCCCTTTCAGGTCAGAAATACATACTTCAATGGAGCGGTCCAGCTCGTGGGCAGCAGCAGTGGAGCCTACGGCCACAGCTAGAGCAGCAGAGGCTGCCACGCGACCCTGCTTATTCTTGGGCTCCTCTTTCTTGTCCACAGGGAGGTTGATGAAGTCTGGAGCAGCCACTGGCTGGACAAACTCAACAGGGAAAACCCCTGCACGACCATGAACCGCCCCAAACTTCCAGCCTTAATTTGGCACACAGAAATCATGTAGGAATGCAGGATGGCACATTGTGATGAAATATGAGGAAAACACACTGAAGAACATGTGAGAAACAGTACAATTCCAGCAGAAGGTAGATAGAGAATCCAAATAATGGCAAAAAAGCAGAAAGATAGATTCAACAGCACTCCATGCAGGCACTCAGTGCACAATGACCCACCAAAGTCAGGTGTGTCTCTCTTTAACTCTTCAAGAAGCATGACCTTCTTTTTCACAATGCAACCATAGCACTGGCCTGTGGAACAGCCACAGGAGCTAGCAGTCAACATTATGGTAAACATACATAAACCACACAGTAGGGGTGGGCAATATGGCAGAAATATAACATTGTTGTAATTCAGGACATTTTCACAATATGTAACATATTTTGTTTATCTGAGGTTTGATAAGCTGGAGCTGACAAACAAGAACTGATAGTGTCACATTTAAAAACACTATCAGAAACTATCTATACCACGTGTCAGCAGTAGATAAGGGTAAACGCTAATCTCAGCAGCACTTTGGCCCTGAAGGTCCCCAGTTTGACTATACAATCTACATAATGATTTTTATTCAATATTTAACACACTCTTTGTAATAAAACAAACACAATTGGTCAGTGTTCTTTAAGTATTGCTAATATTCACGATGAGCTCAGAAAAGCATATTGTGACTTAATTTATCAATAATGAGAAATATGGCCATACTGCCCACCACACAATATCACATCTTGCAGTTTACCTAAAAGGTCTGTGGACCAACACTTCAATATTCTACTTAGCAAGTAATCTTAAGACTGTCAGTGGCTTGATAAACATTACAGTCAATTACATCATACTGCTTTCACAATATGACGCCCATGCTCTTACAGTATGACGTCCATGCTGAATAACTAGTAATTTTTATTCTCAGCTTCAAATCTTTAAATCATTTTGATGACGCATTTAGATAAGACATTGGCTTCCCAAATACTGCTAAAGTGTGCATTCCTTAGGGTGTGTGAGAGATTTGGTCATAAACAGCCTCACCTTCCTCCAGGCCCTCCATTTTCTGCAAGCGTATAATGTCTCCTTTGTGGAAACTCAGCAGCGTTCTATCATCTGTAATGTAATTACGCACAGCAACCACATAGTCTGAGTCCTAGAGCAAAAGAGAACACGGTTACTACAAAACTCCACAAAGATCACTTCCAAACTCACAGTATTTGTGCTTAGAAAGCTAACCTTCTTCAGCTCGGTGATGAAGTAGTCAATCATGGTCTTCACTTGAGGAGCTTTGGCTGAGAAGAGAATCAGTTTTTCATTGGTGAGGTTGAACTCCAGCATGTTCTTGGAGGGAATGGTGACAAACATGATATCTGTGTAGCTGTAATTGGAGGCAAACACATAATCATAATCATTAGCATTATGAGGTAAGGCTGTGTTTGATGCTGTGTCTTCAGTAGAGACAGTACTGTGCTAATGTCTAAAGCAGCCAGGAAAATAGTTTAAAACTATTTATCTTGGAGTTTGTCTTGGAGATTGTGGTCAGTCATTAATAGCCAGGGGTCTAATACAAAATAATTGGCCTTGTTCTGTTTGCATGAGTAAAATAACCCTCATCCTCCCCCCATCAATCAGCACAATGCTAGCTAATACAGACTCTGTACAGATCTGTTTGCGTACGTTTCATAATTGGCATTTAATATACTCTCTAACAGGACAGCTGTTAAGCTGTGTCCAGTTAAAGCTTATATTAGCTTTCACCCTCTAAGCTTGGTGGCATCGTGTGATGGAAGGACACCTAACTAGCAGATGGAATTGACCTGGAGACAAAAATGGAAAAGGTTAAGCTAACACACTCACACACCTCAAATTACTATTTACTTTTTATTTGTATTTGTTTTAATGTTATTGTTTTTAGCAAATAAATGCTAACTACCCAGATAAACAGATTTACATATCACTTTCTCAGATGCCTACTACTTTTGCACAGTACTGTAGTTCTCATCTGCTGCAGCCTACCTGTATGGTCTTAAAACTCGGAAGTAATCTGGGGCCACTGCACTGCTCCTCACCATCTTTAGCAGTTTAATCCCCCTGTGGGACACAGAGAGCACCTGGACCCCAGTGCCAACACTGCCCTGTAACACAAACACAACACACACACACAAACAAAAAGCTCTTGCTTCAGAGAAACCTAAGACTTTGATTGGAGAATAAGAGATGAGCCGAGCACAGTTCCTCACAGAAGCAGGAAAAAGACGAGAGAAGTAGATCTCCCAGCTGTCCCTCGCAGCGGTGACAACCTTTTTCTTCACATTCTCGTCTTGTGTCATAGCAGCCGCATCAATGTTGTTCTCATCTATCACAATGAAAAAGATACATCAAGGTCAGGCCTCAATAATGTATTGGCTCTTATTCGGAGGCATCTTACTCAATCAGAATTATGCAGCATACCAAAGAGGGATTTCATTTTCTGCCTCTCCTCTTTCGTTATCCGAATGCAAGCCTCAGAGAATGTATCATGGACAATCTGAAACAACAATCTATTGTTAGCATGGCGAGAAAGATCTAGCTAGCTGATTCAGCGAAATAAGTGCTGGGCACAAAAATACACACCTGCTTGAAGAGGAGATCTAATACTAGTGGATGGTTAAAGCTGTCCTTAGGATAGAAAACCTAAAATGAAAAATAACATGACACTACACCACTGAAAAGAACATTTTAAATGCATTTCCTAACACACGCAAACACACACACTCTAACCTCTTTTCTCAGGTATATTTTCCAGGGCACGTTAGTATAAGTGTAGTGCTCCTCGCTGCTCCTCCTGTGGAGCTGAGTCTGAATAGTTTCCTCTTCAACTGGAAGTTCTCGAGACACTGAACAAACAACTCACCATTACTTACAACAATGCAGCAAGAACTATACAAGCATACTTAGTGTTGATAACATTTCTAACAATGAGTGCGTTTACATGCACCCAATAATCCAATCATAATCGGATTTCTGCAGCTATCTGATTCAAATGGTCATGTAAACAGCATACTCTGATTTCTTAGATTGGATTAAGTTCTAGAAATCCGATCAAGAAATTTGATAAGGAGAGCTGAATTTTAGCTCAGTAATCATATTTCTCAGTGCATGTGTACTCTTACTCTAATTTCTTTCAGATTTTTGAGTCTACGCATGTGTGCGAAAAGTACCAGAAATAACCAAGTAGTGTTTAACACAGCGCCCACTTTTGCAGCGACTCTGAAACCAACTGCATGCATGACAAAATGAAGAATTTTAACATTCTTCATCCTCTACATGATGTATGTTCATTCTTTTGGGTAAAGCAACTCGATGTTTAAAAAAAAAAAGATGCGGCATGAAGTGTGAGTTTTACATTATGTTTATATCACGTTTTTATCTTGTGAGTTTATTGGCTGGTTGTAAAGCAGAAATCCGATTACTGCCCAACTCATGTAAACCCAGAGCTTTCCCAATATCTGACAACTCAAGTGCACGTAAATGCGGATTACTGACAAAATCTGATTTTCTGCAGTTATGGGATTATTAAATGCATGTAAACGCACTCAATGATGCAGTGATCGGGTATTTTGATCGAAAACTCTTATCTGTTAAAGTACTGTGCAAAAGTCAGAGATCACCAGACCATTTGTTTAATTTCCAGTCAAAGGTTCATCAGAAAAAGTATTTTCAGTATGTGGTGTGACTACCCTTTAACTTTAATTTTTAGGAGACTTGCTTACAGTCTTTGAAAGAAATCTGCAGAGATGTTTTTCCACTTCTCCAAAGTTCAGTCTTAGAAGTTAGTCACTTTTTCTGCTTTCACAATCCAAGTATTCTCAATCATGTTCAATGTTGAGGATTGGGCTCTGGGATGGTCAGCCCATTGTTCTGAGAACAGCAACAGCTTCAATGTTTGATTTGCAAATTTTATTTATTTATTTATTTATTTATTTTGGTCTGTTCCTTTCTTAGTAATGGCTTCTTGACAGCTACACATCCATTGAGACTAACAGTGCTGAGTTCCTTCTTCTCACAGTAGAAGGATGGACAGAAACACATGGATTTTTTTTCAGATCTGAAGCAAGAGTGGAGCTTGATTTTCTCCTCTCTCTCAAAGAAGAAAGCTTTTAGTACTGTTTAACTGATTGTGACAGTCTTGGTGGTCTGCCAGGTCTTGCAAGGTTGTCATATCCAATCTCCTCAAAAATGTACAACTTGTACATAAAAGTAATTCTGAAATTTATGAAATGCAGGTGGTCTCTGACTTTTCCTCAGTGCTGTATCTATTTCGTAACACACTGTACTGACCAGGTGCAGGGGGTGGGGATCTCTGACTGACAGCAGGCACTGGAGGTGACCTTTTGGGCTTTATGCTCTTTACTGGCTGTAGTCCTCCAGCCTCATCTTTAAACTCCCTCACACCTGAAGCAGTAGGAGCTGGACCGTAAGTCTTCTTTTGCTGGATATTGAAGACATTAAATACATATTGGTAATTTGCATTAGGTATTTAGTTCATAGTAACAAAGAAAGGTGTTAAGTTGACTTTAACTGATCTACCCGAGGAGGTGGAGAATTCATCTGGTCTTTAAGGATCAACATAGCTTCATCATGTGGATCTGGCTTCTTAACGAACACTTTAGCTTCTCTTCTATGATGAATATAAGATGAAAACAACTTCAATGTGCAAGTTATGGAGTTATGAACAGCTTTCACTAGCATTAGTGCACTCTAAGCAGATACTACTAAATAAACATTAGTTACTACTAAATAAACATTTCATAATGTGGAATTTTGCTATTGTTTTATTAGTTATTGTCCATTATGGTCAAATTGGTTGAAAAGAGAACACAAACCTTGGGATCTCTACTGGCTTGACCATACCAGGCTGATACTGTTTGATTATGTCTTTGATGTTGTGACTTGGTTCTAGATGCTCTGAGTTTGAGATGGAGGACTTGACTACATTTTCTGTCCTGGTTGGGCCTTAAATATAAGATTTACATGAATGAGCTGAGGAAGCATCACTTGTACAACCTACATAACTGTAAAATGTGAACAAAGACCAATGTGCACTTGGGGGTTAATAGATAATAGATAATAAGACCCATGCTAAAATTTGTCTAGAACAAAAAACATAGTATCTACAGCAATCTGCACAAAGGGAACCAACATACCAAATGTTGCATCTAGGAATCTATAACTGGTACAGTGCCTTACTGTGATGACGCCGAGAGGGCCTGTGTGCAGGGGCAACAGGAGCCTGAGTGTACGGTATAGGTCCAGTTTCAAATTTCGTCTGTGAATGAAGCTCAAAACTTTACTGGAAACATTCAATAACAGTGCTAAATATGCAATAATGAAGTGACTTCAGAACACAATACAACAGATAAACAAATTAATGTTCTTAAGTCATCAGAGGCCATTTATAGACATTTATATGATTTCATATATTATATATAATTTATATAGCGACAGTACTTTGCAAGAACAAGAAACCACATTTCGTTTATTTAATTTCCTATCAAAATGGCCCATAAATACAAGTCATTCATTTTTCAAAAGATATTTCAGAGGAGAATCCACTTGCTTAAGGAAGTATAAAGTCAAAGAAGCAGATCACTGGATGCAGAAAATGCAACCAACTTCTAAGACTGAACTTTGGAGGTGTGGAAAAATATATCTGCAGTGTTCTGTGAAAAACTGAAAGCAAGTCTCCTGAAAAGAATGAGAGCTGTAATAATAGTAAAACACTAAATACTGAAAAAAAAGACATTTAGTTGGTGAAGCTTCTGTGTAATTTTCTGTTAAATATATGTGTATGCTTTTTTATATTTATTCTGAAAAATTAATAATTTGTCTTTAACTTTTACTTTGATAAAAAATTATCTCTGACTTTTGCATAGTACTGTAAACTATATATTATTTTTATATATTATATATCTTAAGGTTTGCTAGATGATTCTGTTAAATTTGTATAGAAAGCGCCTCTGGTGTAGATCATAATTCCATTCAGCCTTGATATACTCACTGGGCTGGACTGGCCAGAGCGAGACATTGGTATATGCTCGCTGTGATGAGGGGGACCAGAATACGGCCCACCCACTGAATTATACATCTGCTGCTGAAGGGCCATCGCCTGCATTGTCATTTGTTGAGCCTATTATGCAGCACAACAGACCAGTAATTAGATCTGTAACAGGGTGCATTCTGAAGAGAATCAAACATGAACAACATTCAGACTGTGATGCAGGGCTTTTACAATACTCACCAGTATAATTGCTTGCTGATTGATGATGGCTTGCTGCTGCTGTGCTAGGATGTTGTGATCCACTCCTTTTGTAATGGTAAAAAAACAATGTAGTTATTTTTTAAAGGGGAAAAAAACTTTTTCCATACTGTAAAATAATTCTCACAGAATCAAGCTGTGCCAACAGCCAATATGGACAGTGATCTCTTGCATCCATACCTGGCACATCAGTCAGTGGTGGCACATTAGGTAAAGCTGGAATAGGCGGCATAGCAGGCAAAGCTGGCATAGAAGGCATAGCTGGCATTGGCGGCACTGAAGGCTTTGGGGAAATTGGGGGTACTGAGGGCACTGAGGTTATGGACGTAGGGGCAGGCATAGTGGGCACAGAGTGCATAGCTGGCATAGGTATAGGCGGCATCATTGCTCCTCCCATAACAGGTAAAACTGGTACGGCTGAGAAGAACAAGTGAAGCTCAAGATCAATGTAACATTACTTCTTTACAGACTCCTTTACAGTGGTGGTGATAGGAACCAGGAGTAATGATGTCTACAACACAAATATATACATTTTATTTACTATGCAAAATGACCTACATGTGTCTTGTAATTCTGGTAACAGTAATGTAGTGGAAAATCTGGAAAAAAATGTTTTTTGGGTACTCATTTTACTCAGCATACCCTGAATATATCCCTCCACCATGAATGAATTTAATCAATTTTATCAACAAACAATTTAAAAAAAGCAGTGTCTCAGGCATCAGGCAATGTAATTGTAAGTATTTCTTGTAATAACTTTCTGTGAGGTAGCTTTAGAGACATTAAATGCTTTGGATGTCTGATCCCTATCACTACTACTGTGAACAATTCTGACTCAGTAAGGTTCTCTGCAATGAAGCATTTCACATCAAACCACTCTAAATAACTTTATTTACATCTCAGTCATTGAATTATGCAGAATCCCCTTTAAGCTTTTATGCAAATTATTTTAAATCACTTATTCTATGCCTTTAGAGTGAGTGCAATGAAATAAAATGTGTAATTTGTTCTAAATATTATGAACCAAACAGTTGGAAGTAATGCATACAAGTAAGCACACAGGCAAGAAACTGAGGAACGAACAGTGCAGCAACAGAAATCAGTATCATCACATTGATCAAAAGCCACAACCACATTTAGTGCAGCACAGCAACTCAACATTCACTTCATTTCGCATGCAAAATCCATTGAAATGAAAAGCACGATTCCAAACAAACTGGAAGCCTGAATTCCACTCCACAGTGGAATTGATTGCATTTAGGAACCAATTGACACAAGGGCTTCCATGCATAATTCATGGATGGTAAAAAGAGAGCAGGGAGGGGAGCAGAAGTACGACTCACCGCCGGGCTGCAGTCCTGGAGGATAGGGCCTGCTGGCCCGCTCCTTCTCCTCTTCACCATTCCCACCTCCAACTCCACCGGCTCCCTTCATGCGGCTGGATATGCTGGCTGGCTTCTCTAGATCCTGCTCCAGAGATAAGGCAGAGAGGAAAAGGCTCTCACCCAGCCAGGACCCCTTCCGTGCCCAGTCACGGGAGAATTCAATCCTCCCCCTGGGAGTACCTTATACTCTCTAAGAGAAGCTTAGCTTGCTAACTATTACCACAAAACATCTGGCTTCCAGTTTCTACTTCAAGGCATTTCAACTGCCAAAAACTACTGATTTGTGTTGGGCACCATTTTAAAATTCTGGAGACAATGTGGATGATGTTTTATGTTAACCTGTTGGCTTCTAAGTTTCTTGTGAGTACAGTTCACTCATTTGTGCCCAACCTTAAAACAAGCTGTTTGCTGAACAAGAGCCATTACACTACAGGTGTCTGAAAACAGCTTTTAAAAGGATGATGGTTTAATGATAATGGCCTAGGAGATTAAGTGGAGCTCAATGCTGCAAGAAATACGGTAATCCAGTAACTTAACCTCCCTTAATTCTGGAGGCTTGGTGCTGAGAGAGCATTTGATACTCAATCACTTACACTCCTGGGTTCAAATGATCTGCATAAACTGCCAGAACTAACCACTCATCTTATTATTCATACGTCCGTATCATTATTATTTCACATATGCCAGTACACTTGTGAACAGTAAACTCCAGAAAATAAACCAATCAGTGCCCTCTTTGAATTAAATAAACAGAAGTGTATCAGAAAAATCAGGCTACAGAAAAGGAGCTGGAGGGACGTACCCCACTACCATCAGACAACACCGGGTCAAACAGGCTGTCCAGATATCGGTCCATGCCTCTCTGTGTTGGAGCCTCGCTGAAATCCGACTCTATTATTACAAAAGATGAGAGAAGGTCATGCATCTGGACCTGGAGATAATAACTGAACTACACAGTCCCTTGTGTATAGTCAGGAGAGTCGCATATTCTGCTGTTTACCACCAGGAGGTTTTGTCACAAAGCACGATTTCTTGCTTGCCCAGCTAACAATAAGCTTAGTTCAATTCAACCCTGGATTTTCTGTCTCACGATTGGGGTTCACTTTTTACCAAACTATATCACCATGGCAACTTGTGCTGCATACCTAACCTGCCACAGAGCAGCGTATGTTTGGGGCTTCCGATTATGTAGAGCTATTGGACCAAACGGGGCCAAGCTTCTGAGTGATTAGTGACTGACTGAGATGTACCCCTCAGGTGACTTTGCTTATTTAGCAGAGGAAATAATACTACATACAAGTAAACATATGAAGTAATTGCTACTCCAATAAGGACTGACACAGTGACCTCAGAGTTACAAGCATTATAAATGCTTGAATTTCTACATATTTACATAGATTTTTTTCTTCTTTCTTTGAAAAACACGCAATTGGCTGTTCGCCATAAATGACAGTTTCATGTGCATACGCGCAATCATTAATCATAGCTGGACTATCTAAACCTGAGTTAACAGGGAACGTGGTTAGCTATCTTCATAAAATGAGTTAACCGCAGTTACATTTGTTAGGTTTCGTGCAGCTTTGTGAGATAGGCTCCGAGCAGCTACTATAACCTGAATACAAAAACAGTACAACTTTAACCACTAACATTTTTGTAAATCTTAATGCACTTGTCCTTCTGTACTGTGAAAAATTTCTAAATGAAAAATGCTTTTACAGAGGGTTTTTGAGCTAGCTGAGTGTTAAGGGGAGCTGAAATGAAATGTTACTGGTTAATATTATTTTTCCCACCTGCTGGTGCACGGCGATGTAACCAAAAATTAGGTGGATTAGGAAATCTTTTCAAGGCGAGTAAAAGTCACTACACTTCAATGAAAGATGATGGGAAATCAAGAACTTTATCTTTTAATTGATTCGATATGATAATTTGTGCTTAATATGACCAGAGACATTGACTAACAATGGAAAAAAGGTCTGTTTTGATTTCAGGATCAATAATATGTAGATATGTAGATCTGTAGAGGATGGATATGTAAATGAACAATATGTTAAAATGTACAAAGAGCAGTGAAACTTCAGACCGTGGCTGTAGTATCCATCTGAATCTGGAAGACTGGTGCTGGCAAGGGTTGGAGGGATGAGGAGTGGGCTATCGTCATCTGAATCAAAACCACTTCCAAACAGAGCCCTTTGACAGTAAGAACAAAATATCAATGTCTGCACAATAAAAACTATAACAAAGTTTAATCACAGAAAGGACTATTGTATGCATACAAACACAGAGACTGTGAGAAGTTTGGGGACCCCTTCGCATTCTTTATATGTTTGATTTCTCACTGTCAGCTTTCAGTGAGGTAACAAAATGTTTGTACAGCTTTGTTAACATAAAGCAGTAAAGCAGAAAAACAAACAGGAGTTTATGGCACAACACTCTTCTTCATCAAAATGCCTTCCTTGCCATAAAGCAGGTTTTGTCTATATAATTGTTTGATAGTTTTCTTTTCTGAAGCACTGATAAAACTCCTATTGAAACTATATTGCCCCAAACGTGGTTTAAACATTTGAAAGGTTTGTGTGCTTATGGGAGCAGACATTATGACACAGGGGTAAATGGTGCAGGGTATGGTATTATTCCCAAGATAACTCTGTGACAAATACATGCCTGATACAGTTTTAATCAAAATAAACCCGGGTAGTGTTTAATATGGCAAGTTGCGGCACGTGTACAAAGAAAACATCATTTGTATTAAAAACATTTTGAAAGGTTAGTTGTTTCCAAACTTCTGACAGGCAGTGTATGCAATGTATTACAATATATTCTGTTTAAATATAATATATTCCACTGTCTTATGAATATATTTGGACACAACTGTTTTTCATGTTATTAGAATTTTTCTTATTGCTATTATTATATATTATACTATATGGTTTTACTAACAGGCCAGCATTGGGTCTGGTTCTGGTGGGACTTTCTGCTGAGATAATGAAGAAGGACTTCTGCTTGGGAAAATCTCGCATTAGCTCCAGGTCTGCAATCAGATCCATTACATAATCATGCCCCGCAAGCTCCGCCCACTGCCCATGCTCCTTCATAATGACCGAACAGCCCTTCCAGGACTCAGTAACTCCCCTACAAAAACAAATACAGAAACAAAAAAAGTCATACATTTTTTGTCTTTGCTGTGGTCTCATGGCTGTGAATGTAATGTGTGACAAATAAATTTTGCTTCACTAACTAAGGTATCATCACAGCAACCACCAACACTGGACTCAGCAACTTTCTTGCATGCACCATCCAAAGTTATTGGCCGCCTCAAATTAAAGTGTGCAAACATTTAAACTGGCTACTTGAAATGGATGCTAAGCAAGAGTAACCAGTGGCTAAATGGCCCACAAACACAGCAATATTTTCTTCCAAACGGAGTGTTCAATTAGATGGCATTAAGAAGTGAAAACTGCAGAGAACAAAATCCATTTTGCAAAGGATGCAAACATGACGTAAACCAGGTGTAGGAAACTAGGGCTTGGGGTCCTGCAAAGTTTAGTGTTTCTCCTGATCTAAAGCAATTAAAAGGGAATTCCTTCAATATTTAAGATTTCTGCACTAATAAACAGTGAAGATTTAAACAAAGTCATTCAGAACGGTTCTAGATAAGAATTCACAGTGATGGTGACAAGAACAAACAAGTGTGAGGCATTCAACATTTTTATATTATAGAGTGAAAAGCTTTCTCATGTAGTGGTTATAAAAATGCACAATGATGTCTATGATTTTGTTTTACGATAGCTTTGAGATAAGATTTTAACCTGAAATATTTTTTTTTAAATCCATTTTCATGGTGGTGAGGTACATGCAGAGTGTTGTAAGGCAAAACAGCACCTGAATATATATAGTGGCTATATTCGATTTGTAGACATTGTAACCCCTGGTTTGTATCACCACCACTGGAAATCAGACTTGGTAAGTTTCTCTCGAATAAGCTATTTCACATCAAACTCCAATGAATGACTTCAGAGCAGATTTTTCTGAAAAACTGGAATTTCCCTTTCACTGAAGAGTTGACTCAGAGATTTAAACAGAAAAATCACCCAACTGTGCAGAAGTTTCCCAACCCCTGATGTACATTAACAGCTGCACACTTGTATAACACAGAGTACACAGCTCATTCAAGATTAATACTGAAAATGTTCTTTGATATTTGTTATTTGATCAATGTCTGTATCAATAAGATAAAAAACACCAGCCCATTTCGTACAATTGTGTTGTACAAGACAACAATGACAGCAATAAAAGGAAAAAAGGACAAACTCTATATATAATTAAAGAGAGTGTAATTAAATAAAGTGTGGTGACTCATTACTTTTAACAAATTCTGTAGGTTTTACATCACTAATCTCTATATTTCCATTAGGGTTAGGTTGACAGGTATGCATGAGGCCTGTGCTACTCAGAATCTTATGGCATAATGAGTAGTGTACCATTTGATAATGAACTTCTAGCAAATCACCACAGACATGTGTACATTCCACATCGTAGTTCTAAATTTGCTGGTTCCACTCATATATCAGGCGTTTTGTGTTGGCTCCCAGAACACTGTTTTTGCTTCCACCTAGAGGAGAGTACTGTGACCTTGGTTAAATGACAGAAGAAGTAAGAGCGGTCGGGTGATGAAGGGTTGAGGACAGAAGATGGATCAATTTCTTTTTGTAACCTGTCTGAAACAAGCTCTGCCAGGATGTGCATGGTTGTCTGACCTCAGTGTTCTCCCTAGGCATGCTGTATACCTGTGCTGAAGGATGTCCCCAGCCAGATCCTCTCCACTGGTCCATGAGTGCATAGGACATAGAAAGGAAGTCCCTGTGGAAACAACATGATGTTTGACAACCATGGTGAGAGAGACGGTGTGAAGAGGAAAGACAACACCTCAAGCACTTTTTTCCATTCCGTTTAGCACCAGAGATCAAGTGTCTCTTAATCTAGCTGAGCGGTACATAATTGTCTCCAGAGGGTTTAGAGAGCTGGAGAAACTGTGCCAGGCTAACTCAGGCAGGTGAGAGCGATAGGAGAACCTTGACAGAAACTGAGATCAACCCTATTGTGTGCTTGAGAGCCGTCCTGTGTGTTTGTGTTACGTAAATGCACTTATATCCCAGCCGAGCCAAAAACAGTGAGCATCTACAGATGGTAATCTCACATGAGACTGACAGTCTCGATTCTACATTTCTACAGCAGCCTTTTCAGGTCTCCTCTTATTTCAGACTTGGGTTTCACATGTGAACCTCGGCAGTGACGTCTCTCTCCTACTAAAAAGGAAAGATTAGAGTTTCTCTTTTGCAGATAGCATTTAAACAAAGCAAGAGGAGTAGCATTCTACTAATGCCAGTGGAACGTAATAAGGTTGATATGTCTTATAGCTTTTAAGAATTAATTGCACAGTGCACAGAACACCTGTGACTCTCACCGTCAAAGCAATGCACCTGCAACACCATGTTGGCTTTCTTCCTGTTGGCTGTCCACTCCAGTAAAGACAGGGGGTATGTCCTTGCAGTCTCTGGTCCATAGAGGGACTTCTGCATGGCTTGTATCAGCTTATGTTGGCAAAGAGCCTTATAGCCATCATAGGCATAGTCTGAGACAAACCTGTAGTGATCAGAAAAAACAGTAAGGTAGGGGGTACATCCCAGTGGGCACAAATATGCAGATTCATTTCACAGGAAAAGTGGTTCTTGTCTCACTTTAGAAGGTATTTCTCTATCTTGGCTGAAGGTGCAAATGTGCTCAGGCAGCCGAGCAGCAGCAGCCAGCCTCTGTCAGCGTTGTCTGGGTTGCTGTTCCTCCAGACCTGATTGGCAATTTGACACAAAATTTCACCTCTCAAGCCAGGGTTGGAAAGACCCTTCTGGATGATGTAGTTTCCGAATAAATTCTCCTGAGCCCCATTTAAATGTGGGTCACCCATAAACCTGAGGATCTGCAGAGTACACAGACAGGAAATCGATGTCAGTACTGTTAGTAATTCTGGTGGCAGACAGAGATAACACAGCACTGTGCAAAACTCAGAAACCTTGCGTCCATTTACTTAATCTCCTGTCTAAATGGCCATTAGGTACAAGCCATTCAATTTTCAGCTTCAAAAAAAGCAGAAAACATATTTAACAGAAAATCACATAGAACCTTCAATAACTAAATATAACATCAACATGTTGTGTCTACTCTCTGTCTTTACTACAGCTTTCATTCCATTTGAGAGACTTGCTTTCAGTTTTTCAAAGAATAACACAGGGATATTTTTTAGAAGTTGGTTGGATTTTGTAATCCCAATAACAAACTTAGACTCGTCAGTCCATAAAACCTTACTCCACTGTCTTAGATCTCAGCTTTTCGTGTTCTACTGCAATGTTTCCTTTCCTCAGTAACAGCTTCTTGTCAACTACACATGTTTTCAGACTCACAGTGTTAAGTTGTCTTCTCATGGTGGAAGGATGGATAGAAACACTTGTGGATTTTTTCAGATCTGAATCAAGAGCTTTTTGTATCATTTCTCAAGGATGAAAGCTTTGAGTACCGTTTATCTGGTGGTGACACTTTTGGTTCTCTACCTTTTTTCACTTTTCTTTTTGACTTTCCCCTTCCTCGTGCAATAAGTTTACTTTATATCTTATCTCCTCAGAAATATCTCAGAATATCAGAAATTTGCATGGCAGCTAAGGTGTATTTGTGCAGATGCTTGAGTGAGTGTTAGTGTCTGTTTGAAGGGGAACACAAAGTCAGTGACTCCTTAGAAACAGCTTTTGTTGGGATGACATAGCTTTAACATGGTTTTAAGACTGAAAAGATAGAAGAGTTAAAGTGGCAGTAGAGTGCACAAAAGAGTGGACAAATTAAATACTTAGCTATAGATTTGATATTATAATTAGTGGTGGAAGATTTTCTGTTGAATACACGTCTCCTACTTTTTCTGACACTGAAAAAAAACTACATTTATACTTAACGGCCATTTTGACCGAAAATTAAATTGAATTAGGATGGCATCTCACTGTTGCAGATTACTGCAGATACTACCACAAAGAGGAAAATATGAGATGCTTCTACCATGATGAAGACATCAAGAGCTTCATGAGCGAGATCATCATCAACATGAGTCAGTGGTGTCTTCAGAGGTGCAGTCAACATTCCAAACTTTGGCTCCTGTAATGTAGGACCGAATCAGTCATATGGGAAAAAACAATTTCTTTATACAATGCACACTTGAAGTATATGCTAAGGCACTGTGACTACTGCTCTGAGAGAACTCTTCTGCACTTTAGAGAAGAATCAAAATGCATGACTTACTCTGAAGTGAACCTGGATGAATTTGGATATGGAGTAGTTGTTGATGTCAAGGGGTAGTGTGAGTTGGGATTCCACCTGAACAGTAGGAGCCTGCACTAGGGCTAAGCAATCAGAATGGAGCTCTCTACCACCTGACAGGCAGACAAAAGCAATTACTGTACGCAGTAAAGCATTCAGTTCCAGAATATACTAAAAACACTGTGAAGTCCAACTGCATTCCATTACATTCTTTCAAGCTACAATTTCTCATTCTATTTGTCCAAGCAAAGCAATAGCATTGCAAAGCAAAACTAAAGCAGTATCAATCATACCTGCAGCTGCTTGCAATAATCCTCCGAGTTCTGCTGGAATGACCAAGTGAGTGACGTTAACTACCTCCCGTCTTGATAACTCCTGCAGGTTCAAGAGAATTGCTTAACTACAGGATATGCCAAAGTCTGTATATGATTAAAGAGTCTAAAGAGTCTTATCTGACATTCTAACCATTTCTATTCTGATTCTCTCGTCTTCTGCCTTCCTCCTGGCCTCCAGTCTCATCTGAAAAGAGATGAACAATGAGCATCAATTAGCAAGGGAATATATGGTTCTGTTTACAAATAAAAAAACGTTTGTTTATTTATATTCGAGTCAATGGCTATTATGGATAAGTTATTTATTTTTCAGTGTCAGAAAAAAATATATTTAACAGGAATTACACAAAAGCCTCCAACACCAAGTATAATATCAAAAGTAGCAGCCTTTCCCAAAGCTCTCACTGACATTCCCCTTCAAAGAGATCATTCACACAAACAGCTACCTGAACATACCTTAGCTGCCTCACAAATTTCTAACTCATGTGCATCTAAAATGGCTAAAAGAGTATTTCTGACAATATATGTAAGATTGCATAAGGAAGGGGAAAGTCAAAGAAAAATAAGTGAAAAAATTGGAGTTTCCAACACTGGAGTTAGAGAAAATGGGACTCCTGACATCCATATAAGACCTGGAAGACCACCAAAAGGCATCAAATAAACAGTATTTGTAGCTTAAAACTTTGACAAAATCAAGTTCCACTCCCACCACAAATATGAAAAATCCTATAGATAAGTCAAAACTAAAGATTTGTAGCTGTCAAGAAGCCATTACTGAGAAAAGAAGAATTTTGCACTAGAACACCGAAAATGGACAGTTGAGATTAATAGAGTAGGGTTTTATAGACAGAAAATAGAGAAAAGAACACCTACACTAGAACACCAAACATGGACATTATGGATGTGGAATAAGATTTTATAAACTGATAAGCCTAAAATTGTGATTGGGATAACTTGGGTCATGAGAAGCAAAAAAAAAAAACTTTTAAAACTGAACTTTGGAAGTGTGGAAAATATGTCTGCAGATTTCTTTAAAAAAAAGTGAAAGTAAGTCTCTCAAAAAGAATGAAAGCTGTAATAAAGACAAAGGCTAAATACTGAAAGAACTGACATAATATTTGAATGTTGAAGCTTCAGTGGAATTTTCTGTTAAATATATGTTTTCCTGAAAAATGAATAACGTCCTTAAACAAATGAAAGGGTGGTCTCAGACTTTTGCACAGTACTGTAATTTAGGAAAAGAACAGATCTGACATTTACATTGTGAACACACTGACATTCACAGCATCTGTACCTTAATATATCTCTTTCGATTGACATACATGTGCACCAGTGAGCGGAATTTGACCAGACTACTTCGCATTTTCACATAGCGTTTCCTGTGAAAAAGCAAAAAGAAATGAATGTCAATCTAAACCAGACAAGACTGCGCTTCAAATCCTAAAGTATTAAGTCTTGAGAGTGTGTACCGGGTGAGGTAGCCTCGGCAGTGGGCCTGCAGCCTGATGATTTTCATGCGGAAGGCCGTATAGCGCTTCCGCACAAAGAACATACGTGTGTAGCGCTGCAGGGTCAGAGCAGCCACATGCCTAACTCTGTCTCTCTTACTTTCTAGCAGGTAATAAATGTCTTCTTTCATGAACAGCTGACACAAAAACACAGAGTAAAGGGAATTAATACAAGAAAATCACAAGACCTAATTCTTCCCAATGGCTCTTAGATAATAAAATATGTCTCATGGAATCTTACCTTGGATACACCAACTTGAAAAACTCCTGGCCTCACAGGGCAAAGCTTCCTCAGCATGATGACACAGTTTTCCCCAGTGGCAGGAGGAGGCTGCTTTAGGCCCAGCAAAGACTTGTATCTAAATGGAAACAAACAGCTAAGTACACTTATAAATCAGCAACTGCCCACAAACGGTAATGCTTGAGAGAGAGAAAGAAAGAAAGAGACAGAACCAAAAGCATGTGTCCCAAGATACAATTTAAAGGGGAAAACAAGTTTAATATGATATCTGTTGTTACGCAGTATTCTGTAGCACAGCATCATATCACTCAGCCTCCTCAGTTTAACAGAATTCATTATTTTGTGTCATTTTTGTGTTTTTGTTTGTCAGTGTTCTCTCACTTTAAAAGCCAGCAAGCATTACACAAAAGTCACTTATGGTGAATCCTTATGGTGTAATCCAGTCCTGAAAGCTAGCCTAACAACTGAGCTATAGGCTAATACATACAGAGAAGCTAACATTAGTGTGACTCACTTTGATTGTCAAACAAATCATAAAGAAACAGTGATTTGATCTTTGTTCAGCACAAAATGGATGCTAGAGACATTTTTTTTACCTTTTTTAGCTGCAGAAAACAAGCCAAACTAAAGTAAGGTATCTAGTTAGCCAAGCAGCTTCCTTTCTAACTTAACCTTTTAGCTTGTTGTCTACCTTCTCTGATGAGTACACTGTAAAAAACGGTTCGTCAGATCAAACTAAACAATTACTTAATTTGGTAACAAGTAAATTAACTATTTTATTCTCAAAGCAGTTTTTGAGTTGAATAAAACCAGTTCAATTGCTGGTGATTACATGAAGTAATTTTTTTAGGTTGATCTGACGAACCATTTTTTACAGTGTAATTTCTGTCATTTGTGTGATCTTTTTTCACAATTATGAAAATGATTTGGTGACAGTTATATATACACCCCCGTGTGAAAAAAAGGGGCCCAAAATGGCAAAGCATTAAGCTTTTAATGGTCTTAACAACAAATCATTTAACAAATAGATTAAGTTAGTATGAGGTATTTTTCCCCTTGATTTCTTTAAATGTTGAAGTCTTGCAGATAAACATTCAGACAGTCTTTTACAGAAAGAAGAGTCAATACTGTTCTGCTCAGCACTGATGGCTTCAAACAGTTGCAAAAAATACTGCCAAACTACTATACGGTTTAAAGCTGGACACTGACCACTCCAAAACCATCTGTAAAAACTACTGTATTTTGGGCTTGGTGCATTTTTTTGCTTGGGGTTTATACAGTCTGTTTCCTAGCACTATTAGCTATTTGCCTACCTTCTTCATTCAGCTAAAAAAAAACACATTTCCAAACAGACTGCTCCCAAAATCCACCCTAAAGCAGATGTAGTTCTTCAAAAGTACCTTTCACTTTCAACATCATCAGAAGGGAGGTTTACAGTCTTTAAACTGGAAAATCTCACTCTTTGACTACTGTGGCACTGCTTTAGGAGGTATGTAGGCCTGTTTACAGATTTTCCATTTTAGCATGTGTGCCCCTTTAATTTAATTTAATTTCCTTGTCAAACCATAATCATCTCAGACATTACCTAAAGAGGAAGACATCAAAGGGTATTCTGATTGGAAAACCCTCTCGCCTGATACGAATGGTCTCCAAAATCCCAGAGTAACGAAGCTGAGTGCTGACCAGCTCCATGTCAAACACACCAGGCTCCTAGAGAGAGACACACACTCTTAGTACAAACCCCCAACAGAAATTTTCAGCTACTAGTGTGCTTCTTACGCAGTAACTGCTATTTCTTACCTTGTTATTGTTTGGCTTTATGCAGCGCACAAAAAATGAGTTGCATCTGGCACAAAACGAAAGAAATCACATGGTAAAATAAAAGAACAGGCCTTGCTATTTTGAGAATGAAGTAAATTCCGAGAATAGGAGCTTTGATAGTCTACCTCTCCATCTTCTCCACAAGTTCCATTAGAGACAGCTGGAACTTGGCAGCAACTGTTGAGGCCTGGTATCTGCGTGTAACCGTGCTGTTCTTCCTTACGTGGGTCCTCTGTTGACTGAGAGCTTCTGAATAGCTCATGAACAGATATGCAACCATCTAGACCAAGAGGAAAAATAAAATTAAACCCTGGGACAACAAATCCAAAGTAAGACCATGTTAAAGTCCCCTTACCTTATTTTTGCTCTGCATGAAAAGGTCAAGGACCTCCTGACGAACTTGATCATAATTTTTGTCCAAGAACTTATGGACCTGTTAAGAATGATATGAGTAAGTAAGAGTGGAAGTCTCACAATAATTTGTGCATAAACTCTACTGATCATCATAGTGCTCTGATATATACCTGATAAGTGACTTTCCCAGCAAAATGTTTAATGGCAAATTCAGGGAGAGGCATTTTTGGCTTTGAATATAGTAGGTTGTGGCCGTGATGATAGTGACATTTCTGAAGGAAGGTGTGGTCTGTAGCCTGAATATGAAGAGAAATTCACTGAGCAAAACTGAGCAAGCACGGCTTAAAGTACATAAAAAAACAGAAAGTGCCACAGGGATAAACTGTTGAACTGGAACGCACCTGTGGAAAGCCACTCTGGTCATCCAGAATCCGAAGGATTCCATGAGGCTTTGCTGCAATGAGGTCAATGCAGGCCTGATTGTCACTGAAAGGCACCTCCTCCCAGGGGATTTGCTCTCTGCTGTATTCCTCCTAAGATATTCAAAGTCATTTTTTCACACGTATTGTGAAAAATCTACAGTCACAATGCTCTGAGGATTAGAAGGAACCAAGAAAGCTTACTTGCTCTTCTCTGAAAACTATCCTATTGAAAAAGAACTGTAGGTACTCATTTGCATAGTTTATGCAAAGCTGTTCAAAGCTGTTGAAGGTGAGGTCCTGTGAAGCACAAATAGTGCGATTCACTAAGCAATCAGTATTTAACTGCTACATGGAGCATCCTTAAAAAGACAAAAACAAGTTATCTTTGCATTCATGTTAATACCTCAAAGCCATAGATGTCAAGAATGGAGATAGACAGTGCTTCATTCCTTGGGTACACCAGCTTATTGATTCTATCAGTTATCCAGTTGAAAAGAAGGGAGTACAGGATCTTGGCAACTGCATCTCTGGAATTTTGGAGAGAGGAATTGAGCATATTTTAAGCTTCTTTTATGTCCATTCATCACATTATCCATCCATCTATCTCAAGAGAATTTTGAGGGATTTATTTTCACAGCTTCACAGAATTACCTGGCATCAACTGCACTCTCAACTGTTAAAGGAGTGTAGATCTTCTCTCTCATTGTTTCCTATAGGAGAATGTAAATGTGAATGTCACATTAGAAAACAAATGTTCCAGTCCAGAAATACAACTTGTGTGCAGCACGATATTTAGCAGATATTTACAACTGAGTCACTCTCCAATTCATCACCTTTCATGGAAACCACAAAACATGAATGTGTTTACTTGTAGTTCATGCTTAGTGTCAGATTCAGCATAGAGTTTGTACCTATACTGTATACACGGTTTTCAGGAATATAAAATCAATTTGTTAAAAATATATGAGCAAAATGATTCCATTATTATGATGCATGAAGTTTGATGTGTCTAGAATGATGAAGAGAACTGTATAAGATTCCATGATGATTTATTAAGATGCATAACATTGAGTATGACATTATAATAAAACTAAAGGTTTTGGGGATTTGGGTAATTTGAGGGATTTAGGGAAATGTCTAATTGCATGCAACATGCAAAAGAATATTTTGAAATGTTGGTCATGCTTCAGACCCCATCCCTGAGCAGATGAATCTGATAATTGGCTGCGTTGAAAGAGCAATCAAAGAGAACTCCTTCAAAACCTGGTGAAGAGCATGTCCTCTGAGGAAATAAGTGAACAATCTACTGCTGTCATCAGTATCTTTTGCATCTGAGACCTAAACATCAAGCCAGGCCTTCATTTAGACTCTGTGCGTGTCACATAAAGACGTATGATGTGGTCTGACAAACTCCCATCAAATCAAAACTGACAGCTCCGATCATTTTAGGCTTTACAGGGTGACTCACAGCAGCGGATGCACACAATCTTTTAGCGTGTGTTTTTTGTGTCCTGACTCAGTAATGTAGTAGTGCAACTTTAAAATCCAAAATGCCTCATATTTGAAAAGCGCTGCACAAATCTCAGGGCAAATAACGTTTTAAGGAATTACTATAAATAGAATATGTGTCATAATTTATCAACAGCTAGGAAAAAAGACAGCTAATCAGCCTATCTGACCACTTTAAGTGTATGCTTTAATAGTTGTACATGAAATTCATTCAGATCATTTGAGCAAAATGAATCAATTGCTCTGATCTGATTTAAAATTCATTTGACTCGAAGTCATGTACACTACTAATATTAGGAATATTTAAATGTTCGATGTGCAATGACAACTTGGTTGAAAGCAAAATATGTTCAATTTCACTCTTGAATATTACATACATATAGTTGGTGCCAAAAAAACACAAGTTACAACAAAATGGTAACACAGTGTAGTGAGATTTTTTTGCAAGGAATTTCAGACCATTTCTAGTTGTCCATTCATCATAAAACTTTGATCATGATGTAAAAAACAGCTGCTGCGTTCAGATAATGCAGAACAACAGAAGTAGAAAAAATGTAAATACTTTTTTTTAGACAGCGACAATATGTCGAGTAGCAACCCTTCATAAACTTGTTATGTGGGTCTATACAGGACTAAAAAATAATCTCTTCTACTAAGCTTAGTCTATTTATTCATGTTGCTCAAAATCGCTTGTCATCCTTTATAGCCATAGAGGCTGCATTTCAGAGACATCATCCCAAAGAGCAGATTAGAAGTCGATGAGGCACCCTATCAACAGTGCAACTGATACAGACTTCTGTGAAAACCAGCCCTCAGGGTTAAGCGATGTAAACACAGCCTGTACTTCTGTGAAGGGACAGCATTAATCCTCTTCAACTGATAGTATCAAGGACGTTCAGACAGGTTTACCAAGCTGTTCTTACACCTTGGGAACTGACCTGGCTTCACTCTACTAGAACATGGCCGCTTTTAAAGTAGATGCAACTCCAAAGTCATTCACTAAAAGCCGGGTCTTACAGGTTCCACCTGATAAAAAAAGCCCTACAGTGCGAGTGCTCTACCTTTTGTGATTGGACAAAGGTTAATGACTTTGGATATAGCCCTCTCTTGTTACATTGAGAAGACCTGCTATTCTAATTAGCAGTACTGCCTAAATTGCATTGCACGGCCCCCAATGGTGTCACACTAGCAACCATGATGAGTTGTAGTCTAAACGACTTAGCACATTTCAACATGGCCAGGACACAGTGAACATTGACAAGCTCTGGCTCTGAGCAGGACTCACTGAGACAATGACTAGCCTGTAACCAGATACCGACCACAGCACCGCATAAAAGTTTTTTGTTTTGTTTTTTTAAACAAAAGAGGAGACAATAGGAAATGACAAGAGAAAAGATGATGAAAATGCAAAAAGCTGCTGGAGTCCACTTGGAGCAAGCAATCTAATTCCTCACCTATGACCTCTGAAGGAGATCATTTGGGAAAAAGGACAAAATGAAGATTGAACTTCTTCACTGAGGGTCTGGATGGTTTCCTTTTGTCGCAAGAGAGGTACCAAACAAAATATTATGCAGAGAAAAACTGGCCTAGCTGTTCAGTGGCAGAGAAAACTGGATAAACACATCACTCATCTATTTGAACGGGGAGCAACTAAAGAGTAAGCTAACTGCGTTGTTTGGCATATAGTTGCCGTCCAAAGAAAAACACGTATCTCCAAATTACTAACTTTACAAGAGAAGGCAAAAATGGCCTTAACTTTAATTCTAAGTTAATGTAAAGATATTTTATTCTGCGTTATTTTGAAGCATTCCTGTTGTTTCATATATTATGAAATTTTCGAATAATGTTTAAAAAAGCGACAAAAATGGAGATACATGTTTTTTGGGGGGCAGCAATGATATATGACATGAAAGAATAATGTTACTGTATTATGGCTTGTACTGAGCCGGGACAATTAATTCTACAATGAATGCCAGCACAGCAAACTGCAAGAGTAACACATACTGAAACCATTCCTCAATATTGCACTGTGAACTGGTAAGTGGTGATGAGGACTACTGAATGACATAACTTATTATTGGCCTTTTCATGCATGTGTAAAATTTGTATGACACTAATGATAAAAAATGCACAGATTCCCTTTTGTGTATGTGTTTGTAATGGTTAGAGATTATTTCAGGTGAAAAATAATACTTACTCCAACAATTATGCATGTTGTGTCCAATTATATGAAGTCGTATGCAAAAGTTTGAACAACCGGTCAATTTCATGTTCTTTTGATTTTCTAAGTGAAAATAAGTTAACAATCCTCTACAATGAACAAGCTAAAATATGCCATTTTACTGCAAACGTTAGTGCACAATTTCTATTTATTTGCTGAGATTTTATGTGAAATAAAATGCTCCATAACTTTTGCAGACCACGTTTTACATTTTTCCAATGTATTCAATTCAGCAAATAAACAGTATTTGTGCATTTAAACTTGTAGAAGTTTGTTCTCTGTAGATCATGTGTACTTTTTATCATTTAGAAAATCAACAAAGCTTGTCATTTGACCAGAGGTGCCCAAACTTTTGCATACAACTGTATATACTGAGCTGGCAGTTTATTAGGCCCTAGCTTGTACAGTCACTAGCCATTTTATTATTGTATATATTACAATATGTGCACTTTGTATTAAGGCCCAACGGATATGAAAACATTGTGGTAGATATTCAGATAATTGTCAACTTCAGCCAATATAATTTTACATTTATATTCTTTAATGTTATACTCCAATAGTTGACTGATTTGATTGTCAGTTCTCAATTATCACCTTTCTTAAACTCAAACAACAGAAACTCACAGCCTTAAATAATATTAATAAAAGTATTTGGCAGATTTTGTCCTATTGTTTGAAATAATCATTTAATAATAAGTTTGAATCCTGCCAATGCCATTAAAATTCTTAAATTATCGCTTCATAATGGATATGTTCAAATATACTGATAAAGCCGTGGGATGCCAATATCGATCAATGCAATTGGCCAACTTATATATCGCTCAGGCTCTACTCTGTAGGCATACAATTACTGACTGTAGCCCATCTGCAGAAATTCACAATTCATCGGTCTCTACCCCATCCATCAATGAAAAAGGACCACTATAGGACCACCACTGACCAAATCTTATTTGGGTGCTGGATCATTGTTATCACAGCAGTGACACCAACATAGTAGTGCCATTGTAGAGTGTGGTGCTGATCATTGCAGCAGCATTACCGTTTTAAATTCTGTACAGTGAAAATTTTCTATACTGTCAAAAGTCCTATTTATTATGAATGGTCTGACTGGGTTTGCACTGGGTTTGCAAGAGCACGGTTAATGCTCTAGCAGCCCTCTTGGCAGACCTGAATCAGGTCCTGCTGTTCTGAAGGACTGTCTCACTGGCTAGCATGCCTATATACCTCCCTGATTGCTCCTGCCAAGGGTATCCCCTGATTGGGTTACAGTGGTCTCCATAGCACCGTGTCCTGCTGCCCAGATAAACTTGCCATGTTATTCTATCTGAGGTTATTTCAAGCTTGTATATGCACCATTTGACATTTTCTTTGTTTCACTGTCGATGCTCTCTGCAAGACAAATTGAATCGTGCTAGTTGTGTACTATGGATCATGTTTCGAAGGACCATCAAAGAAACAGACCAAACAAAACTGACTTAAGTGCTGGTACTTGGCACAGGGCCATGACAGCAGCCTGGAGTTCATCCAAGGTCTACAGATGACTAACCGCAATGCTAAGTTGTCCTTTAGAGTCAGTGCACTTTTGAGAGAATGTCATTCTATGTAGTTTGTATATTACTGGAAAATACCTGGAATGTCAGCCAGTGAAAGTGGAAGATACAGTCATTTTACAGGGTATTTTTTTAAGCTTAAATACATGCACAGTAGGCATTTACTTGCTGAACATAAACTGCTTAATCTATAGTCAAAACAGAAACAAGATGCTATTCCTGTTTGCTATGGAAATATCTTTGGCAATATTAGCAGAAGGAAAACTATTTTATTTCGAAACCTAATTGTACATTCATAGATTCCAGACGAGAACTACGTTAGCACAATTTTTCAAATGTTTCATATTTCACCCTATTGGTTGTTGCAGGAAACAAATACCACACCTTTTAGTAGATTAACTTCTCTATTTTTGATGAAACTTGAACCACAAACAAAAACTAAACAATTATTACCTTGAACAAGAAAAAAGGTAACAGCCAACTGAGGTTAGTGCTATATCACTTACACTAGCTAGCACCACAGTATTGAGGTTAGTGCTATATCACTTACACTAGCTAATACCACATGTATTTATGAACCTCTAAATCAGTGGCTATAAGTCAGGATTTGTTAAGCGCCATAGGGGTTCCCAGCGGTTGGGTGATGTATTTGTGTAATGCATGCTGAGTATTGTGTAGTGGGAGAACACTGATGCACGAAAGCAGGAAACCATACAAAACTGTGAATTCTGTCAGACCAATGAGGCTGAAGGGTGCAATGCTGCACTACAAAATACTGCACAATATAAAAAATAACATATTAAATGATAGTTTTAGGCTGGAATGCCCCGTTAAGCAAAAGTAAGTAAAAGACATGTACCAGCGTAATTTTAATAATGTGACAAGAGAAGATGAGGAAGAGAAGTAACAAGAGATTCGTGAGAGTGTGAGAAAGCACACAATGCAATGACAATAAATTGCATCAATGCTATTTTTTGATGATCAAAGGCAACATACAAAACTACAGACTGCTAAATGAGGATCCATTGAGGGAGTTGCAGCACACATCACTTTGTCCTACCGTCACTTTGAAAGTGATTGATTTCTGCAGAGCCTCAGGAGAAATCTGCAGGAGCTCCGCCACCACTCTGATTTCCTGAGCACTCACCACTGATGCCATCTCCTGAGAGTCTGTCTGTATATTCAAAAACGGACAACTTTACCATTTATTCGTGGTACTTGTAATGAAATAAAGGATTATTATATTGTAGTTTTAAACAGACAGGAGTATTATAACATAGCTTACCTCATATCTCTCAAAGAAGACATTTCCCAGGTGGAGGATGGAGGACAGGACCCTGAAAATGCCATTCTGATCGTCAACATTGAAGTGCAAGACCTCCATGGCACTAAGGAGCCTGCGGAAGTCTTCCCCATCACTCTTACCAAAGATCTCACAGTCCCCACCCTGTCCAGCAGCAATAGGTGAGCAACAAAAACAGACAACACATCAGTTTCTGTCCTTGTTTGATCAGGTGATAAAAGGAAAAAATAATATTTATTTTATTTTATTTATAAACTTATAAATTCAGCTCTTCATAAACACTGTATACTGTAACAGATAAATTTTTAATCTCACTTGATTGAGGTAATAGTAGGTCTCTGCTTCCTGGAGGTACAAGGACTGTTTTTGCTGTGAAGGAAGGCCGGCAAGCATTTCATAAAAAATGTGGTAGTTTCTTTCATCTTTGGCCTAGAAGAAAAATACATATATCCAGAGAATATCCAGTTTATTTTCAAACATAATTTCAAACCATATGCAAGCAGTCAAAATAATCATGTAACCAAAGTAACACATTTACAATAAAAAGAATTGCCACGATCACCTGAAACACTATCCTTGACTTTTCAAGTAGATACTGTGAAGTTATGGCACCGCTGATCACACCCCTGTAGGAAAAATTACAGAGAATTAAAGTGGAATTTCATAGTCTATGCATAATTCAATTGAGGAGGTGCAAACAACATCATTCAGTGTGGTTTGAATGTAAAATGGTTCATAGTAGAGAAAGTTGCCATTTTGGAATTCTTTACAGTGGTGGTGATAGAAACCAGGGGTCATGATATCTACAATGCAAGTGCAGCACTTTTATTTACTACCCAAAATAATCAGTAAATCAACACGTCTCCTGAGTTTTTAGAGGTAATACTGATAATGGTAAAACAGTTGTAGATCTCAAAACTATCATAAAACAATGTCTCAGGCATCAGGCAGCATATTCATAACCATTTTATTTAAGAACATTATGTGAGAGAGCTTTTAGAGACATTAAACTCCTCGGATGTCTGGTTACCATCACTACCACAGTAAGCAATTTCGGCTAATATGCATTAACATGAAAAAAACTATTACTCTTAAACATTTTGGCCAACACTCAACTTAAGCAAATAGGCCAAACACGTACAATAATTAATCTGTTCATACTCAATCTCTCAAAAGTTACCTAAGACAGAATGTCTTAACAATTACACTTACTCTTCCAGAAATATCTCTATGTATTTCCCAAAGCGACTTGAGTTATCATTCCTGACGGTTTTGGCATTTCCAAAAGATTCTAAGAGTGGAGCTGCTTCAAGAATCTGTAGATTTAATCACAGTAATGTCAGCAGTGATGAATGCAAAAAAGACAGTTAATGTTCATGTCAAACATTTCGTCATCAATTCTGCCCTCTGTCAAAATAAAGGCTGTGTTACAATAAAGAATTTGTTTGAACCAACAACCTACACATCACTTTTTTATTTCTGTGTTTTTTCCCCATGTTTTCCTTTGAAGAATTTAGAACTTGTCCACACTTCTTTGCAAACTAGCAGGCAAGCAGCACTGACAAGCAACCCTACAGACTTGTAAACAATAACAGTGCCCAACTACACTTGTACACGCTGGCTAATATACAGTCTACCTGGCACTTTTTGCATCAATGGATTTCTCATACCATAATACAGTATTGGATGGCCTACTATAGCTATAGGTCTTCACTGTTGGAACACAGAATTCTCAGTTCACAATAGATTTTATTCCAAATTTGTGAATATTTTTGATGACACCTAACTGGCTTAGCTATTTTCTTGTTAGAAATTGTCTAAAAATGATATGACATGTTTAGTCCTATTGGACCATATACTCAATTTATCAATCAGGTCTGTTCAAACAACCTCTGCATTGCAGAAGCTTAGATGTGTTGATGTTACTTTTATGCAGTCATATTGGATATGTGTAATTCATCACATTTAACACAAATGAAATCTATTTTACTATAATATATGGACCATTCTACCAAATTGGTCAGAGTTAAAAGCACATTTCAGACTTTTAACTGATTTAGACTTTAGACTAAAAGCATTTTGCTTTAAGTGACTCTATATGTTAATTATGATTATTTTATTAAAACAAATGATTGAACATTCCATTTTGTCATTAACAAAACAATCATAACACTACTGATACATTACCAAATGTTTTGGTAGTAATAACTTTAGTTAACTTTGAGCATAACTAAAAAAAAAAGCCAGTAATAGCTAACAGCTCTGAACAGCTGTATATACAAAAAATCATAATATTTTTATTAAAACATAAAAAAGTTTATTTAATTGCAGAAAATGTGTTTCATTAGTGACAATTTAAGAACAATTAAGGTAACACAGTGATTTTAAGACTTTGGGACACATTTACTTCAAAACAATAGGATCAAAGTGCTCACCATGTGGCCATGAGGGTCAGGGATGCAGTTTCACTAACTGCTCTAAAATGCAAGGGTGCAAGGGTGTGGCTAAAATAATGCTCCGCCTATGGACTCTCTGTATTTCGATCGTTACATGCAAACGTGGGACAGTATTTTGGAATAATTTTTTTTTGTTTAAATATTAAACTCACAATAAATCTACATTTTCTGACTTCACTTTAACATAAATCAAAAAGATCTTCTTACAAACAAAGTAAAAAATGTAAAAAATGTAAGTTTTATTTTCACAAGTAGAAATTTAGGGGTTAGGGTTTGGGACAGCCACCTCCCAACAGAACGTACCCTACAAATGATGAGTTTGCATGTATTTAGCTTATTACTATCTCAATTGGGTTTAAACAGATCAGAACATAATCCCTGTAAATAGCTAAGATCTGAAAAAACATTTTTTTTACTGGGGGATCACAGTTTTAACTTTTAAATGTTTAAATCTGGAAGAAAAAAAAATTTGGTACAATGCTCCACATAGACTGTATTACATTATAAAGCATTATATCTAATTGTCTTAATGAAACTTCCATAATTGCATATTCAATAGAAGGTAAGCAATTATGGAAGCAAAAAAGGGTTATCTTCTGTAGGATGTACTGGATGACATTTACACATAAATGTCATGTGGATTCATTTATTCATATGTATGAACAAATAGTTTGCAGACAATAAAGCATAAGATGCATGCACTTTCTAAAACATCATGCAGTACTTGTCACTGTGCACACAGACATGCCAAAAACCAAAAATACAATACCTCAATCTGTACACGAATTAAAGGAAAATATAAAAAAAAACACTTGTTACATCAAAGTACATCATATGTCTGAGTGCTGTATAAGCAAACCATTATAAACTAGCTTAGTTGGACCATACCTGCTGTGTTATGTTGCGTTTGTGATGTATAGCAGCTAAATAGCGCAGGACCAGCTTTGTGGCCTCAGTTTTGCCAGCACCACTCTCCCCACTGAAATACAATAAGCACATTTTACACTTGCACCAAATGGTGGCCGTAACCCCCCAATTATCAGCTTAACACCACAATTAGGTAAACTGGCACAGAGACTTGGCATGTGAAGAATCGAGTTCCACCTCCTTTGCTTTGCACTTAAGTAATGAGCATAGTGTCTGGTCGTCAGACAGAAGTGAAATCGAATGCTGGAATGTGTGCATCGTGCCAGCTTCTCTGAGACGACAGTGGGTGCATTTCACAGAGATGTGATCTGATGGTGCAGTCCTAGGCCAGACACCAGCAGTCTTTCCTTACAAGTATCTCCTTCAGAGAGAGGTTTAAAGTGTTCCAGGTGATCAGTTGTCAAACAGTATTGACACCGATCAGCTAAACTGCTTAAAAGACTACACAAGAGAATAATGGACTGAGGGCTTTGACTCCTCCCAATTTCATTCAAAAAAAAGCAACATCTCAAAGTAACTCATATTTTAATTTAACTATACCTGATAATAATGCACTGGTTCTGTTTGGCATCCATCATTTTTGTGTAAGCAGCATTTGCTATAGCAAATAAATGCCTGGAAATAAATATTTTTGTTAATATAAACATATTAACAACCACCTCTATAAAAGCTTTATAGAAAAATGAAAAACAGGACTCTGAGCTTACGGAGGATTTTCACCAAGGGCATGCCCTTTGTGTTGCAGCACCATGTCTGTTCCATAAATATTGTACATCTTGTAGGGATTCAGAGCTACCAAAATACTTCCAATATATGTCTTGAATGAAAGCATACAAGCAAAATTAATATATCAACGTAATCATACAGTTAACCAATGTACAATAAAATAGTCTTACAGGAAGTATTGTGTGAAAATTCTTAAAATTTTACTCACATAAATCAGTTCTCGTTCAAACCTTTTCCTCAGGTTGAGTAAAACAGCTGCTTCATGAAGCTCCCTGGAAAAATAAGTTCGGCCATATTTAAAAGATTGCATAGGCAGCTGAAAGAGATATTGATCTAAACAAACAGGTTCCAAAGTAGTAAGTGTAACAAAATAATTTTATTTCATCAGATAAGTTAGCTGTCTGTGAGATTAAATAAATTCTTACTCCAGTTGTGTCATATCCTCAATCCCATCCTCCTCAGCTCGCTCTCGGTACAACATTGTTGGCAGACTTCGGATTGAGTACATCTACATACCCAAGTTAATACATATAAATTGATGACACAAATAAAAGCAGCAGCCAGACATAACTAAAAAATTAATGAATATTTTAAAAATTATAATATCCATAAGTGGCCAAACACATCTGCTTCAACTCATTAAGAGTTTCACGAACTGAGTCACGTGTGTTGGAACAGAGGAAGCACCAAACTGCCCAGTGTTATGGCCTTCCAGGACTTGGGAGTAAAGAACACTGCTGAGTTAGCTGATATGGCTGCATATAGCATTCTTTTAATGTTACCTAACATTTACATAGTGACCTGTAAAGACATTCTGCTTCAAAATGTTATGAGTCTTCTTGGATAGCCCAGATCTTTTTAATAAGCTTCTGTCTCAAATCCAAATTCTTCAGTGATTAGATCTGGTCTTACAAGTCTATTTTTGTGCAAGTGCAAGTGCAGTTTAGTTGTTTAATGTCAGAGTACTGCTAAGTGTGTTTTTACTTTGGTGGCCAGAAATACTCTGTGCTGACACGACCTGTTTTTCATTATCGTGTAGAAGTAATGAAATACAGCTATATTCTACAATGGGAGCAATACTTGCCATTATGAAAATAGGCTTGGCCCAAGACCCTCTAAACCCTGCAGTTCTGCTTCAGTTCCGCATTTTAGTCGCATCAACAATGTGTGAATGTATAGGGCAAGAAATCTTGGCACTACATTTAAAAGCGGACTCATGCAATGTACAGGCTGTCCAAGTACCTTAACCCTTTAATGTTCTGTTCAACCATTTGACAGAGCACATTTTGAGTCACTATATATGCTACAAAGTGCCATCTTGACCGTTTGGTATTGAATATATTTTGAAAATATTTTGAATATTTTGAATATTTTAAAAATTGTGGGGTCAAAAAACGAAAAAAAAAAACCCCACCAATTCCACAATTCCACCACAAAAAATTCCACTGCTTTTGTCTTGGTGAGGACATTAAATTGTTAACAAAATCATTTTATCAGTCGCTTTTGAAAAAGCTCATTTTCTTTTCTACAGTGGCTCAATCCAGACTGCTACCATGAAGCTCAAGGACATGTCAAAATTAAAAAGCAAATGCATTTTAACACTTGAATATTTGCTCAGGTTGGTCAGGCTGTTGTAAACAAATCTCTCCAATCTGATGTGTCCTTGTCTGAATCTCCAGGAATTTTGGGTTAGAGGGGTTAGAGGCCACAACTAAGTCTGCATCTATAAAGTCTTTACTAAAGGGCAAACTTAGGGCACACAGAGGGCTGTCGTGAACATGGTTTTGGGGATCAAAATGAGAAATGGGACACCCTATTGTCCAAATGTGCAAATGAGGACCGCAGGGCTGCAAGTGCATCAGTCGGAATAAGGTGGGTACTGACGCTGTGCTGCCAGCACATTCTAATCTAATTATTTTACAATTGCACTGCCCAAAAGCAGGTTAGTGCCTAAGCCACATTTTCATGCACAACTACTGTAATTTTATGTGTAATTTTTTCCCTTGCACTATGATAACAAAAATAGGACCCCATAACATTTTATCCAATCTTCTGTTTCAGTACAGAATAATGTTTTTTTTGATGGCCTTACCTCTTTATTCTTTGTATTTCTACTGTAATCACGCAAGCCCCAACTGTGAGAATTGTTATGAATTGACCTACTGTGAAAACAATCTTATGGCATAAAGTATTTTAACAAATATACCACATATACTAAAACATAGCAGTTAAAATCATGAAGGCACTGCAGAACTAATAGTGACTTATGTCCAAAATATTAGCTGTACCTTATCATACCAGTGCCCTTGAGGTTCACCCTCCCTGTCTGGTAACCACTCAGGCTCAGTACCATCAGCCTCTTGCCCAGGATACACAGGAATGACAAAATCCACCAATTCTTCATCCCTGTACATGGACCATTTTGTGAGGTTCTGCACAGTATGATGTGGAAGGACTCTTTCTGAAGACCAGACATCATCTGGCTCATGAAGATCTATTGTTTGGATTTGTGCCCAGTGTTCACCAGGTTGACCCTGAACCTGAGGTGTCACCACTGCATACCTTGGGTCCTCTGGAGAACTCCCGAAAGTTGTGGACAACTTAAAGGAGGCTTTATGTAAATTAGTATTCTTCAGTGCTTTTCCCAGAAATGGTGAAGAGGGTTGACCACTTTCAGCTGTTTTACCCCTAGCCATGATTGATCCATCTGGCAGTCTGTAGGAGGCCTTACGAAGATTTTGGTTCTGAAGCGCGCTTGACAGCACTGAGGTTTGTTCTTTTTTGTTGGGGTTTCTGAATAGGCCTGAGGTATTGGGCAGTCGATAAGAAGCACTGCGAAGATTTGCATTTTGCAAAGCACTTGACAAATGGGATGTAATATTTTGTTCTGCTTCCTGTTCAGAGCTCTTGGTTAAAAGTGTTCCATCAGGAAGCCTGTACGAAGCCATTCGGAGGCTTGTGTTCTGAAGAGCATTTGAAAGAATAGGGGAGGGTGACATTTCTGTCTTTTGATTTTGAGATAGGAGAGTTCCATCTGGGAGTCTGTAAGAAGCTTTACGAAGGTTGGGATTCTGTAGAGCATTTCCTAAAAAAGGTGAAAATGGTTTTGTTTCATTTACTTGTTCAGAACTTCGAGACAAAATAGATCCTTCAGGGAGTCTGTAAGATGCTTTTCGAACATTGGCATTTTGAAGGGCATTGGATAACAGAGAAGGAGATGAAGCTGGTTGTTGCACTTCATTTCTAAGTGTGATTGTACCATCTGGCAACCTGTAAGCTGCTTTACGGAGACTTGGGTTTTGCAAAGCATTTGACAAAAGAGATGGGGTGGTGTCCTCTCTTTCACTGCCTGAGTTTCTAGATATTATTGACCCATCAGGTAGTCGAAAAGAAGCACCCTGGATGTTTGGATTCTTTAATGCACTAGATAAAATAGAAGAAGGTCCTTGTGCTTGACGAAAAGGTGTAGGACTTCTCTGTAAAGGAGAAGTGTATGAGGCATTGCGTAAATGAGGGTTCTGTAGTGCACTGGACAATAAAGATGGTGAAACTTGTGCTGTTTGTTGATTAGGTTGTGTCACCATTGGAGTGTATACATTTCTTTGAAGTGGTGAGGTATATGAGGCATTTCGCAGATGAGGATTCTGCAATGCACTTGCAAGAACTGAAGAAGACTGCATATTTTTCTGGGTGTCCTGCTGTGCTACCATTGGATGTGGAGATGCAATTCTTTGTAAGGGGGAGCTGAATGAAGCACTGCGAAGATAAGGATTTTGTAGAGCATTACTCAGCATTATAGAGCTTTGATCAGTAGCCTGAACATGTGGTGGTGTCACTCCTGAATGGGGAGATACAGGTCGCTGTAGGGGTGAGCTATACACAGCATTACGGAGCTGTGGGTTCTGCAATGCATTCGTCAAAACTGGAGAAGGAGACTGAATTGCACCCTGATTGATCTGCGGTATGTGAAGTGGAGACTGAACAGACTTGAATCTCTGAAGAGGTGAATTATAAGAAGTAGTGGAGAGATGTGGATTCTGTAAAGCATTTGATAAGAGAAGAGAGGGACCTTGCACAACTGTCTGACCAAAAGACGTCACCTCCTGAGGCTGAAGACCAGGTGTAAATGGAGACCTGAGGGAGGAACGATTAATGGCTTGATTATGCAAAGCATTTGTTAATACAGGCGATGAGAGATTCCCAGGTAATGGAGAGTGTACCGCTATTGGTGAGCCAGGTGTCGCTGGGCAGTGAGGTGAAGCTGGTCTCATTGGGAGGTGAGGTGTGCCTGGTCTTATTGGAAGCTGTGGCGATCCAGATCTCATTGATAGCTGAGGTGAACCTGGTCTTGTTGATAGCTGAGGTGAAAGAGCTGGATTTGGTATATGCCTGAGGGAAAGTTGTGGTGATGGTGGTGCTGGCTGTTTCATTGAAATTTGTTGTGGGAAAGGTGCTTGGCCATTCATTGAAATTTGTTGTGGGAAAGGTGCTTGGCCATTCATTACAACAGGATGACTTGCCCCCCTTACCGACTGCCTCACTGGAACAGGATTTATTGGTACTCTTACAACAGGACGACCTCTCCCAACAGGTCTATGAAAACCTCTCTGAGCATTTGGAGTTCCTGGTGGGAAAAATCTTTTTGAGTCTCTGAATCCTGTTACTCTAGAACCTTGTCTTGTTAACATAACAGGAGAGGTGGTTGTGCTTCGACTCATAGGTCCTGAACCCACTGTTCCATTATGAATGGAGGATCTGAGTGGAGCAACATTCTGCATTAGGGGAGCATCTTGACGGCTTCTTCTTCGGAAAACTGGATTGACAGGGGACGGTTTAACAGTACCCATAGGTACTTTGTTTCGGCCAAATCCTCTGAATCTGCGAGTGGATGAATGGCTTGGTAGATTTTGTGAGTCTTGCTGGATTCTACCAGAAAGTCTTGATGGGGTAGGGGACAGAGGTCGCTGAGATCTAGAAGCAGAAGGAGACAATGGTCTTGGAGATCCCATTCTTTGGATGGGAGATGAGGCTCTGTGTGGAGGATAAGGAGAACCCTCAAGTTCTGTTTGAGGACCCATTCTTGGAGATAATGGAGGACTCCTTCTCCTTAAAGAAGGCTGTGGTGAACAAGCTACTGATCTTGTTGATATGAAAGAGTCATTCCTTTTTTTTCCACCAATTGGTCTGAAAGAACTTGGGGGAGGAGCTGAATGGATACTTTTCCGCAGGTTGACTCTTGGAGATGACGGTGGACTTCTCCTTCTCATTGAGCCACGTGGTGAAGTTAGTGGACTTTCCCTTCCTATAGCATGAGGAGACTGTGCTCGAGACAAAAATGGTTTTCTTTGGGGGATGGGAGACTTTTCCTTCAAAGTAGCAGAAGGAGATGGTCCTCGCCTCAAGGGTAGTGGGGAAGATGGGGGGCTAAATTTTCTCCTTTGAATAGGAGAAAGTGGTCGCTGGGCATTATTATTGTACGAAGGTGGGCCAAACATTCTTCTTGGCTGCCTTGGCGAAAATCCTGGACCTATGTCCTCTGGTTGAATATCAAATCTTTGGTAAGACAGAGGGCTAGTTCGACCAGGTGAAATATGGCCTTGTCTAATAGACAGCTGTGGTGAGGGAAGTGGACTTCGTCTCATTGGTGTTGGTTGCATAATCTCAGCTGGAAATTCAAGTCTCTGAAACATGGGATCTGAAGAGACAAAGTGAGGGGGCACTTGATCTCCAAGGTTTGGGTCGAATCTCCTTGCAGACAGAACAGGGGATGGTGGTATTGAGAGTGGCATGTGTGGTCCAAAAGAGTGTCTACTTGGAGTGGGTGATGCTGGCACATTAAGGGGGAAAGGAGGCTTTGCTTGAAGTATTGGAGAGGAAGGCAACTGAGGTGACTGGATGAAAATAGGACTACCAGTTTGTACCGAAGGAAATGGTGCTGGTGCTTGGTGGATAAACATAGGAGTTGCTGCAGGGGACAGTGGTCCTTGCACCATTCCAGTATGTGGAGTAAATCCCACAGTTTGAGGAAAAGTTGGCTGAATTTCATGTTGCATGTCTGTCATCACTTCAAAATCATTTAGGGCAATATGAGGAGATGGTGGATTTGTAATTTCAAGTTTGTCTTTCCCAAACAATTTAATCTGTGGTCTTGGGACCCGGAATGGATCTTCAATTAGTGTGCTTTCCATTGCTAGATGTGCATATTCATTCCCATAAAGTTCTGATGGCTCAGTTTGTTCCATTATGTCCTCCATTACATACATATTCGGCTGGGTACCACCCAAAAGTGGATCAAGGTAAACTGATGTGGCATCTCCACTGTAGCTGTATACATTTTGACTGTATGGATTTGGGTAACTAGAGTACATCATATAGGCATCTGGCAACCCTTCTGGATGACCATAAAAACCTTGTTGATTGCCATAATAATCAATCTCCTCTGGGTAAAAACCATAGCTGTAGTGTTCTGTATTTCCATAGTACCAATGTTCATCTTCAATTGGAAAACCAAATTCATCATAATATTCTCCACCATAATCAAAGTAACCATACTCATCCATTCCCTGCTGCCTGTAATCATAATAGTCCATTCCATCGTCATAATAGTCATATGGTTGTCTTTCATCATATTCATCATAGTAGTCCTCATCATAATAGTCATATTCATCTTTGTAAAGGGGATCATAGTAATTATTCTCCTCACCATAGAAGGCATATTCATCTTCAGGGTAATCATAATAATCTTCCTCATAGGAGTCATATTGGTGCGGACCACTGAAATGTCCATGACCATATCCGTCATAATCCCTGCCCAAATATCGCCCTCTTGGGTTATTCCTTCCATAGCTTCTTTGTTCATAATCATCTTCCTCATAGCTAAACTCCTCCTCATCATATTCATATCCTCCATTTTGATAGCCATTGTATCTTTCCATGTCTGACCTGTGGTAACGAACAGAACGACCAAGCCTTCCCCGAGATGTTTTGGATGTTAAAAATTTACGAGTCAGCCAATTAGTTGCACCTGAAATTTTACCTAGAACCCATCCTTTATTCTTGAATTTTGCCACTCCAGTATTCTTTTTACCAAAAAATCCTTTGAATTTGCCCCCTAACCCAGAGGTTGCAGCAGCAGTTTTTCCTGTTTTCCCACCAATATTGAGCAATAAAACAGATTTTCCACCTTCTTCTTTCTTCTCATTTTTATTTTTTCCACCACCTAGAAAACCTGACATGAATTTAGATGTATTCTTTAAATCTTCTGCTTTAGGCTTACCAAACCCTGCAAACAACTTAGATGGGCTTTGTAATGCCTTGGGTGTAGTATCTTTTTTCTTCTTTGATAGTCGCATGAAAAGTCTAGATGTACTTTTTAGCCCTCTTTTAGGTTGTTTTGGGGCTGGCACCGAAAAAGGTGAAGACTTTCCAGCCAGACCAGTGAGAACCTGTGATGCCCCTTTAATGTTAATATCTTTCATTTTACCCAGTTGTATTTGAGGCTTTTTCTCTTCAGGTTTAAATCCCGCCACAACTTTGGATGCAGCCTTAATGTTGGCACGCTTACCAGTTTTTGGATCAACCCCTTCTTCCACCGCTTGGCCACGCTTTGGCTTAGCTGCAGCCTTCACTGCCATAGCCTTAGAAGCTCCTTTGAGTGCAGCTTTTCCTTTCCCTTTCCCTTTCCCTCCTTCATCCTCACTTGGCAGCTCTTCTTCATCTACTGTCTCACTGTCTTCAACTTCACTCTGTAAGTGCTCTGCATCCGAGCCCTCTTCAGATTCACTGGTAACAGCTTGCTTGCCTTTGCCCTTTCCTTTCTTAGGGTCCTCCTTTCCTTTGCCTTTTGCAGGCTGCTCTTTGGCCCCCTTTCCCCCTTTCTTCTCATTTTTTCCTCCTTTGGTATCCTCTTTCGGTTCCTCTGCCTTCCCTTTGTCACCCTTCTTAGCTGCTGCTTTATCACCTTTCTTTGGTGGCATTTTATCCCTTCATAAAAGTCATGCTAGTCTATGTCACTATTTCAGAAATGACTGGTCAGTGACAGTATACTCATACATTAGCAAAATATTTCATTTGGAGTACAGATCCACAATGAAAGTGCAAAATTGAATTTGTCCATCATCTCACAGAAGAGAAGTGTGCCATTTATCTATTCTAGTGCATTTTTCTTGATTACAATTCTAAATAAGAAGAATATTTCCTTCAAGAAAAATAGTCGTTTAGAACTCTACCTTACATTGTTATATTCTTCATGTATGAAATGTCCAACAGATTCTCTCCCTTGGCTCTTGAGTTGATTTTGGCAAAAGATTTCCCAGAGACGAGAGACTCTGTAATCTACGTCAGGTATCCATAAATGTCAGCATCCCTTTTGTCATGTGCTGCAGCCCTTTGCCTTTTGTCTAAGTGATAACGCTCCAGTTACGTATTTGTCCTCAGTGAGTCTCAGACACTGTCCTTGCAAAAGTCTGGAAGCATGTGTCTGAAAGTATGTGAGAGCTCCCTGTTATAGTTGCAAAGGGCACCTTAAATGTATCAACTACACTGACTTAGAGTAACATTATCTCTTTGGCTCATTCCTGTATAAATTATGCAGGTTGGCTGAGCTGTTACTAAACTGTCTGAGAAACATTTCCAAAGAGCAGAAAAAATGTCTGTTGGAAACCAAAGAGGAATTCGATGTTCAGCGGAGTAGGTGAGTCAAAAACATTTTTCAGAAGTACTTATATGTATGTTTGATGTGTTTTTCAGAAGTACTTATATGTATGTTTGATGTGTTTCTTGCACAAAGAATCCTGTTTTTTTATGTTTTTCCCTTTTTTGTGCTTTGCATTGCTACATTGATATATTGGAATATCACAAAAGACACTGATCACAACCTTTACATATGTGTACAGTTTTAAAGTATGCTGTATTTATGCTGTAAAATACTTTAATAAGAACCAAAGTACAGCTGAAAATATTTATGTATTGGAGAAATTTCAGCAAATTTGGGAAAAAAACTGGCAAACATATTAGAACTGTTGGTGGTAATAATGATAAATATATAAACATGAAACAAGAACATGTAAACAGTTTGCTTTGAAGTTTTATAAACTTAACTTTATTGTTGACTTTAAAATATTTTGGAAAAAAAATGTTCAATGCAAATGTTTTTTTTTCATTGTTGCACTCTAACTGGAATGGTTATTTTTTATATGTTCAGTTGTGGGATTCATGTTAATTCATTGATGACTGGTTAATATTCCACGAGTTCATGACGCTGACAGTTATCAATTCTTAATGGGAGGTTTCTATTGAGTTTACTAAGAAATGATGAAATATTAATTGGAAAAGTTCTAAATATATCTACTGTAAAGTCATTCATTGTTGAAGTGAAAATATGTTGCCATAGACTGGAACAATACTGCAACAATTATCTCCAACTAACAGTGCTAGGAGAGCAATAAGAAACATTGTTGAGTAGATTAATGTTTAAACATAAAATGTATTAATGTACATTATCTATTATTATGGACTATCACTAGATGCAGTTGATCCAATAAAAATCTGGGTACAATATAGATCATGTACAAGTTTATACAGACCTATAAACAAATATATGAACTCCATTAATTTCCAACAAAAGAAGAAGCTAGATTTTCAGATACAGAGTGGATTTGGGTTAGTTTAATTGCGATATCAGTTCAGACACTGATAATTGTGCTTTTTGCAGATAAGTGGAAGTTAAAATTTGTCAGTAGCACCTAAAACTAAAAAACTACAATGCATGACATGCAATGCTCAGGTCGTTTAAAAGTTCTGATTAAAAAAAAGTTTAAATCATCTAAAGCAGTCCTGATGAGACAGTATTGTACACTGCAAACCCTAAATGAACTTAGCTTAAATCCAGACCTTGCTATTCACCCAGGCCAACTGCTGTGTAGGGTTTCAGTCAAGTGGCACAGGGGAGCTCCGTCTTAAATTTCAAGGTGTCCACGTAACAGTGAGGACGTGTCCTTTTAAAAAACGAAACATTTGTAATACATTATGTAATAGGTGTAATACATTATGTAAATCGTAACATGGAGAGCTTTATTTCAATATATTGGTAACAATTTTGCATAAAACAAGTTTTTAAAAAGAATAACAGATGAAGTATAATGTAACATGCATTCTTATTACTCTAATAAAGGTGTTATTAATCATAATATAGCACTGATATTTCCTGTATGTGCAATGCTCACCTACAACAATATACATTATGGAAAAAAGGTCTATAATGCATTTTGAAACTAAACTCTTCACTTATTTACAAGTGGGTTTTTAATATTTACTGATTACTAATAAAATAACAGTAGTAAATGTTGGTACATACATATGGAAATTATTTAATCTGAAAAGTTCTGTGGTATTGTTCATATTACAAAGCACTGCATGTCTTGAACCTATGACTATGGATTGTGCTGGTTTTTGCAATATTGTAACATCCATTCATCCACATTGCAAATGCAATCAAATGCTCATATTATGCAAGAAAATTCTGATTCCCACCCTTAAAGGTATACTAGCACAGTTTCCCCCATAGGCTAATGTAGTTGCTCTGCTAATTTTGCACTGGAGCCACAAGCCTAGCACAGCTAAAAAGCAATAGAAGCAAATGGCAAATAAAATCTTTTTTTCCACTGCAAAACAAAAGAAGTAAACTTCAATTGACTACATTTAGGATAGTTTAGAGGAAATTGTATACATTTTTTATTTTTTTGATTTGGCCATTCTTTATAAACAACCTAAAGTCAGAATTCAGCACCAGGATTTTATAAAGCAATTGTATAATAACATAGGTTTTATTTATAGTATATTAGTATATTTTCATTTATTTTATCTTCGAGGAATCACTTTCCGGTGTAAAATTAAATGTACTTCTCCATTGTGGGTGGAGACATTACAGGTTTTAAGTCACAAAAGCAAATACAAATAAACAATTTAGATGTAAAAGGTTTTAAATGTGTATTTTGATGTCACAGAAGATTAATTCCTGCATTTCCATAACATATCCATATTCATTTTAGTAAATTATCTCTGCATTCTGTAACAACAGCAACAACAACAAAAAAATCCTCAAATTAAAACATGAAAATCACAACTCTGACATGAATCTAGTCCAGTTCTTGCTAAAGGCTTACCTTAGATGATCATCAATATTTAATTGCGTCTAAAGTTAAATTTCTCTCAGAGAACTCCACAGAGCACGGCTACAACACCTGCTAATGAACTATGCCTATGTGATGCTGTGTAAAAGCTGGAGGAATATTCACACAAGGTAGGTCCCTGCACTGTCCACCCACAATGATTTGTCTAGGAAAATATATTAGACCATTACTCTTTCTTTGTTAATGAATGAGATGATCATTGTGTGGGTCAGAAAACCCTCTGCCTACACACTTACATTCATCTTCCCAGAATGCAGGAGTATCAAAAGCCTGAGTAAAGCTTTATTCAAAGCCTGGGTAGAATAATGCTTGCTTTACAGTGCTTGCAGATTTTATTATTGATTTAGACAATTCATTTACAAAAACCATAGTGCTATATAATGCTTCTAAGTAGTTACAGGCAAAGAGAGCATCCATTATGAACAGATAGGTTCAGATTGAGTTACTAAACAAATGATTCGCATCCTTATTTTTGAGGCCATTTATGTCCATCTACCTACAAACCATGTTTATCTACAAACAGACACCACGTCATCAGTTCTATTGTTGGTTAATGGCTGATTGGAGAACATGACAATCTGTAACCAATTACCTTTCATCTTTCTCACAGAACCTGATTTACTAGGCCATGTGGCACCATGTACAGCTCACAAATAATGCCTGAGTCAAGGTTTTCTGAATATTACATTCAAAAGGGAACCAGACTACAAGTGGTTTGAACGGTAAGAACAGATATGAGGCGGTTTCAGTTGTCCCTGTCAGACCCTCTATAATGATTTTCCAAGTTGTCAAATATTTGTTAGACAACATTAGGCAAGTATGAAGACACCTCTTATTTAGGCATCAGTCGTGATTTTAACATACAATGCCCCCAGAAAGTATTTGGACAACTGCTGTTAATGTGTAGGTTACTTCTTGGATGTTTACCAAACTGATATGATGAGAAAAACACTTTTAGCACCTCATTAAACTGACATTAGACTCTGTGGAGAAAGCCAGGAGAAGAATGGCAAGCAGATTTAACTAGGAGTACTGCAAAGCGCAGAGGAGGAAATGTGAAAGTCTGGAGCTGTTTTACTTACAGTGGTGTCAGCAAGCTTGTGTTTATTGATGGGATCATGAACTCAGAAGCATACAAAGACATACTGGATGCAAAGCAGCAAAAGTCTACAAAGAGACTGCTCAAATGATAACTTCTGAAAAAATACTTCAGTATATTCTTGGTCTGTTTAAAATAAATGGCTTTACTTCTTGATTTTTTTTCTACCACAATGAACTTACATACATTTTAAGCATGCCACAAATTTCCAAATGCTTTCTGAGGCCACTGTATATTGCTTCTGTCAGCAAATTTTTCATTTTACTATAAAGCTTGCCTTCAGCGGATGAACATCTATTTTGCAGCAGGTGGCAGCAAAGCTCTTTAAATTGCAATACTGTACAGGCTGGCTATTATGACTGCAGTGTGTATGAGATCTCAACAACATATCATAGTGAATTAATGAGCTAAATAAAGACAGTAGAGACTGTATGATTACTGTATCATCAAATGACACCTTCAGTTTATTATGCATTGTATAAACTGTTCTTAAAATACACCAAAGGCACTTCTTAACACTGTGGCCTTCTTTGAGAATCATAAAATATGGGAAATGACGAGTTTTTGCATAATGTTTTTGTGTTTTTGTTGATGGCTGCTTCCAAATGCTAACTTTTTTCTATATGTTACACAATTTTTATCTTGCCCCTACTGTAGTTTTAAGCTTTAGAAATTTAGAAATGTCAAGTATATTGAATTACAGCATAAACTCTACTGACAAATACTATAATCTACTATAGCCACTATGTGATATGTTACTGAAAGATCCAGACCTACAGTCTAGCAAATCATAAAATGATATGGAAAATATGAATTTCAAATTTTGTTCCTTTTGGTAAATATGTACATATATATATGGCTGCCACCTCAGCAACCACATTTTATGGGAGCAAGAGAAGTAAGTAGTTGAAAAATATGCATTTATGAAATTCGTGGTATCACAGGTGATTAATTAAAGGATGATCACACCCCCCTTTAGGCTTAGAAGCAACAATGTGTAAGCTGAGCAGTTAAACACATTACTGTGATATTACTGTATCTTTTTTTCTTTTTGGTCCTTATCTTTTTGTACCACCAGTATTTTAAGTATTACTCTTACTGCTAAATGGACTTTAAACCCGGGATCTGATCTTTATTTAATTTCCCAATTTATTAGAAAATCTCCTTTTACACAATGGTACATTTAACAATAAATTAATTCTCATCCCTCTCCATTCATATCTAAGAATCATCCCTACCATGGAACAGTTTGCTGCTAAATGACACCCAAAGTTGTACTGACTGGAAGCCCTGGATTTACTTTGAGCAGCACATTGATAATCAGGACTTTGAAGACTGATGACAAGGTTTTTGAAGTTGTTGCTGATGTAGCAGCAGGGTTTTGGTCTGATGCAGTATAGGAAACAAGTAAAATGACACCAACATATTTACTATCCAATGTCCTGTTGTCCACTATAAAGGACATTACACAAAAAATAAACAAGTGTTTTTAAAAAAATTTCACTGTGACAATTTTTTTTTTTTTTTCAGCCAATAGACTTATTTTATCCTAAAATTACAGAAATTCTTAAACTTGAATTTTTCTGGGTCTCAGGAGGATACGAGGATACACACACACACACACACACACACACGCGCGCGCGGTAAAACTCACCATAGATACAATGCTAGAAGCAAAACATATTTGAAATAAACGGATGTAAATATTTAAAATTAAAAAATAAGTTGTTTTAATAGATGTAATTTTACTGAGCCATTAAAATGGGGGAAAGTGGAATTACATTGTGTTATTTGCAGTTGAAAACTTTTGCGAGGGAACGCAAAATTACTGCGAGGGAACGCACTGTCATTACTTTTAATCATATATATAATTCCAACAGAAATTTGTTCCAATCAAAATGTCTTGGTTTCATGTTTTTCCTGCTGTAGCATTTAGCCAAAGCTACGGATGCCTCGCTACAGCTCACACCCACATATTACGCCATATGGCTCCAACGTCAGGTATCATGTTGAAGCCAGCAGTTACAGGAACGAGACCCCTTACCTTCACTGCTTCTCACACAAAGACCTCTGAGAGTAGATGCTCCTCAGGTAATTCCAAAACAGAGTCTCTCCATTTCGCTCATCATTCAGAGACTGTATGGCTTTAACCTAATTTCCCAGGACCTCATGAGGCCTACAATGCTACAGTGGGTCGGCCTAGAGTTTTAATAATCCCCCATGCCGCACTTGTCCGCTGCGTAGTACAGCCCGAGTGCCTCCACATGCATTTTTAATGGTCTCTATTATACTAGTTTTCGCTGCTGAATAGAAGCAGCAGCTCTGGGTTTCAGATGAATGCGGAAAGGTAACAGTTGGCATCTTGCGAGTGTAAAGGAGAGTCCATTACAGCACTGAGCCCGGCCTGTAACCGCCTCTCTGTCAGAAACCACAACTAACCGTATTAAACACAGGTTAGCAGCCTGTAACGGGGAAGCACTGCAGACTTCACTGTTCAGATCAACCTGAGCATTTCGACACTATTTGCTGGACAAACTGAAAGAGCTAACGGAGAGAGAACCAACCCACAACACAACAAGCTTTAGGACAGGAATGAATCTGAGAGCTTTGAGAAGTTTCAACTTTTAGAATTATTAATGCCACCTGTTTAAGATGAGCTGGCAAACGTGAAAAATGGGGTTGCTTCGGAGTAAGTTTAAAAGAAGAACAAAAGGAAAAAAGAAAGTGAATATGCATTTAACCATATTCTCAGGAAGAATTTCTTATTTTTCAAAAGATTTCTTTGGTGAAAATGCCTTCTTGATCGACAGCGCTGGGTTTTTATCAAATACACAAAATTTGGTAAACTAGCATCCATGCTAGCTAACGACATGAGAACATGATGTACATTCCTATGATTGACCTAAAATTACTTTGTTTAAATTAATAATTTACTTTCAAATCAGTAATTCGGGTGGCAGGATATTACCTTCAGTCAATATCATTTAAACAAATAAAAAAAATCTTTTCATTCTCTGGTAAATCGGCCTCATTTCAGATATTAAAGTCGGATATTTTATGATGTGTTAAATTAACAGCACTGAGTGAAGGTTGTGGGACACAACTAATATGGACTTTTTCATCATTTGTAATGGACAATTCATGAAATATTAAAAGTATTTCAAGGTACAGCTTTTATTAATATTTTAGGTCATTTATCTGAAACATGCAGTTAGCTTGTGTAGAACACCTTGCTTCTGTTTAAATAGTATTTTACCTTTATCTGAATGCATATTTGTAAATGTAATGTCACAAATGGCACCCAATCATCAAATCACCAACTGATGTTCAATCATTTTGTGAATTAATAGAGGTATTCTTCAGTAAGGAAACTAATGTTATTGTTTAACTTAAAAAGGCTTTCATTTCTTCTTCCCAAACGACATGTCGAAGGACCACTTATTGCAATTTTGTAATGCCTGAAACTTGTAGGGCATTCATAGTAAGGAATCAGATAAGTTATCATGGATCTTGGGTAGAACATTCCTTTAAGTCATTGCTTGAGAAGGAAAGCACTCCTCCTGCTTTTATCTTTTTCAAATTTGACTTGTTATATTCTTGTCCTTTTCACAAAGCATAATTTATTTGAGGTGTCTGTTCTATCATCAGAGAAACTATTTAATGCCACTTACAATAACCTAACAACACTGCCAGATGATTAAAAAGTAGATTTACATACTTATCGAAGTTTTATGTTTCCATCAAACACAGCGCTGCCAATTTCTCAGACGTTAAAGCCTTCTCGTCAAGGTAGTCTCAATGAGTGACAAATAAAATGTGCTGTCATTCTTTTTATTTATCAAAGACAAGGGGCAATAACAATGAACTCTGCTCTCTTTGAAACAGTGACAATAAAACTACTGGTTTTATAACAAAATCTCATCACACGTTTCTAAACCTTTGAACTTGGAGATTTTATTGCTTTCAATTTAAACGTCTCTGAGGAGAATTGGTGATCTTTAAACTGCTGAAATCAATGAAATACACAACCAGTTTAATTTACAGTAATTCCTTTTAACTGGAGTAGCAATACCCTTTTCCATAACTGTGGAAAGATAAAATTGAGCGTTTGTCCCACACCATTTCACACAAACTCTAAGCTCCCACAAAATAACTCTAATCCACTTTTGCTTTTTGGCAAAATTTTGGGTAAAGTTTCTGTTTAATGACGTCTGGGTAAAGTAAATGCATACCTCAGAACTTGAGGCAGTTCTGAATAGGATAAAAGGTCCTGTGTATTTGTTCAACTTCTGAAGCTGATTTTATTTCTTAACAATCTGAATGACATCCTCGTGTTCCATAACGTGTGTAAGTCCTACTCGCTGAGGGCTGTACTTTGTGCTTGTCCCCTGCAGAGAGAAACAAAAGCAAGGTTTTATGAAAACTGTTCAGCACATACAGCAATATCAGTAATAAACCCTGGACTTGTGAATGTCCACAAACTTACCCAGACAAGTGCATACTTGAATTGGCTGGCTAATGTTCTGTGAATTCTGTGACACTGGAAAGAAATGAAGAGTAAATTCTAGCATCTGCTAGGTATTGTTTGCAAGATAAAGACAGATAACAATACTTATGCTGAAACATACTGCATAAAAAAGCTGTTTAAAATACTCAACCAGATCTTCAAGTTATTGTTGGCACAAGAAAATTCATTCTTTTATATATGAAGCATCTATCTAACATCTTTCCTTAGCCCAAGTTCAGTGTTATATTACTTGTCTGGTGAACCATTCTCAGCACAGCAGTTGTTGCGCAAGTGTAAGCGTATCAGACACAGCAGCATTTCAAAACCACTCACTGGATTTTGCATTAAACCTTGTTGATGTACAGCTAGAGACTGAAGATCATCTTTTTTCCTTGTACAGTTTGTGCTAGTCTTCTTCTACCCCTTCATCAGTGCACTGATCACAGAACGACTGTTGCCTGGTTATTTTTGTTTGGTGGTTTATTTTCAACCCAGCAGTTACAGTTAGAAGTTTAACCCCTTACATGACCTGGGCCTGCCGACAAGCCCAGCATTTTATTACACACTTATTTAACCTAAGAACGGCTCAACCAGTTTGCATTGAGGTCCCTGTAGTTACTGAATAATAAGCCATGGTATGGAATAAGCCTGGGATTTTAAGGGGTTAAAAACCCAATTAACGCTTCTGTGCCTGACAAACTCTTGTATGGCCAGACATGATCTCATAATGAGAAATCTTAGGGACAAATATAACAAGTTTTGGGCTAAATGTGGATAGAACTGTAGACTTATTAGGGTTGGAATAAACAGAATGTGAAACTTCGAAACCAATACAATGCCCCGTGAAGGTTGAGCTCAAAGTAGGGTTGGTGGTGCACTCATTAACACTGTCTGATGGACAAGAACTCTGCTGCCAGCCTACGGATGTAATGTAAGTTATGTTATGTATGTGGAGAACAAATTATGAGTGGTTTTGCTTGTTTCATCAATTGTACTATGGACGTAGTGCGCACAGATTGTGGATTTGGTGGTGGGTTTTAGAGGGGGCACACCCTTGAAGCAGATTTCACCATACTCCATCACCAATATTTATCCCCAGACATTTACTCTCATTATGAGGTCATGTTTTGACTCATGAGACTAGGTTCAATTGTACCAGCACCACACATATTAAGTGTGCATTTATATCTGTAGTTCGGTTCCCCTGGTATTGACCAAAGCAGAAAATGATAAACTGCTGTATTATTGTTACACTACATTTTAGTTCTAGTTCACCTAGCATTCACACCGACATATTTGACCCAGAAGATGTAAACAAAAGTGTTATGTAGTGTTGTACTCAAGTTCAATTTCAGTCTCACAACCATAAACTAGCGCTCTCTGTCTTGTTTAGCCTCAACATCATCTGGACTTGTCTTGGTCTTGGGGTAAGGTGGACCCCGAAATTGTTGTCGAGAGTTAATGCAAAAGGTATCATCTTTCTATTGTTATTCAATATCAACGAAACCTTCAAATATTATAAAACTTCCAAGCACGGCCCACACAAACAACAAGAAAAGCCTCCGTGGTCCACAAAATTTATTATATTGTCTTTTTCTGATTCACCCAGTGAGATACCTCATGTAGTTTGGTAGCTACCGAGTGCTGGATGTCTGCCTGAAGAGAGTGCAAACAGAGTTCTGACTCAATCTAAAAGGTTCAGATACATAGTCACTATGAGTCTCCAAGTGATGGGAGAGTTTGATGGATTTCAAAGCTACATTTGGAAAGACCTCTAACAGCACAGAACGGCAGTTACTCGTTTTCAGTTCTCACACAGGTGAAGCCCTGTGCTATGTATTCACTGTATGAATTCATTTTGGTTTTGCTTGCACTGAAAGCATATACATAACTAGAGATGAAACGGTTACCGGTTTCATGGTAAACCGCGGTAAAATTAATGACGGTTAGTAGTACCGTTTGAACTTTAAGTATCCTTAAAACCGCGGCCGATTACAGCGGTGTGAAAAACTCGCTGTACAGAGTCAAACAAAGGCAGAATCATTCTCTCATATGCAGCTCTGTGTGTGTGTAGAGGGGAAGGGGGAGGGGGAGAGAAGGGAGAACATGGCAGAATGTAGTGACAGAGATTCGGAGATATTTCAGCCTTCTAAGAAGACCAAGTCTGACGTTTGGTCATGTTTTGGGTTTTATAAGGATGCAGAAGGAAAGTTAATTGAAGATGACCACCCTGTCTGCAGAACAGGCCAAAAGAAAAAAGCGGCGAAAGGGGGCAACACATCAAACCTTACGAGTCATCTTCGCGACCGCCACCCGCTACTTTTTAGAGAATGCAAGGTTAACTTTAATGTACAAGTCCGTGGGGACTTCGAAATAGAAGAAATGTCACGGTTTGTGTGGTTTAACTTACACTTATCGTTCGTTAATCATATAAAATGAAGCTTTTAGTGTAAAAAAAAAAAAACAATCTGTGAATCAACTGTGAATTGAAACTAAAGCTTTTAACACATATTTCTGTGAAGCAGTGTCTCCAAAATGAGCTCTGAGTTAACAGTCACACAAGCTCCGGAACGAGACGCTGCAAAAGTTCAATCCGCACAGCTCCCCTTTCTCGGCTCCACAGATGAAGACACACTGTGTGAGTTCTACACTGTCTGCAGCTCACAGCACGTCACGCAATTCCTCTGCGATTTTGGCTGTTTTTCCTGGTGCACTGTATTGATTAGGGGTACAGCGCCACAGCGGCACAATAATGCTGCAGTTGCAGTTCGGACAGAAATCCCCCGAGTGCAGCACTTAGACATTTTCCATTAAGACCCACCTCAGAGTTGGTCGAGATTTAATTCTCCATGCAGGGAAATCCCTAGTTATTGTAATTAATAATAATAATAAAAAAATTATTACAACAGTAATAATAATAGTAATAACAGTAATAATAATAATAATAATAATAATAATAATAACAGTAATAATAATACATTTGCTATTCTTTTGTTTACAGATTATTACAAGTATTGTAAGTAATACAAAAGTAATACTACAAATGTATTGACTATATTTTTTAATGTTTATGCAAACAAAAAGTACATATTGCTGCCAATTCTATTTGTGTTAATATAAAATTTGGTGAAACGAGTTTCTGTTTGTGTATCCGTATTTATTTATTTATTTATTTTACTTTTGAACACGTTTGAACAATATCGCGATAATACCGATAATCGTGATAATTTTGGTCATGATAATCGTGATATGAAATTGTAATATTGTTTCATCTCTATACATAACTAGCTAGCACTTAACCAGAACATTCAATGAGCTCAATATACTGTTTTATTTTTACAAATAATCAACATTTGCCATATTTAAAATTACTTTAAATGTCTATGTTGTAACAAATTGTATGCAAAAAAAAAAAAAAACGAAGAAAAACACAAACAGCTGTTAGCATGACATCTGTACCACCACAGCTGAGGATCTAACTGATCCTTACTAGGATGGCTTGACTGGGTAGTATTGCTTTAATTTAATTTTTGATGTTCATTGGTTACGAAACTCAAACATCCTCTGAGGACAGATTAGAATGTTATTATTACTGTGTTTTCATTTAAAAATAAAAATGGATGCATGTTGCTTGTTTTATATTCGGTTGACTTTAGATGGTGATTCTCATTACATTTTAAAGAAGAACACCTTACCACTGCTTCCAGTTACAATGCAAAGTCGTACTATAATATAATAATGAATAATGTTTTAGGCTATACATTATTTAATGTTGTGTTTTACAAAATGTATTATAAAATCTTGCTCTGGTGTCAGTTACTCCTGGTCTCAGTCCTGACTTGGACTCAACTGCTAAAAGTCTTAGCCTTGACATGGACTCTGTAGCTGTCATGACGTCACTAGCAATACAGAGTAAAGTCAACTGAGTAGGCAGATTTTATGAAGTATAAAATCGCCATGATGTCTCTGAAATACAAACATAAAATGGACCAAACCACATCAGAGTTAGTTTAGAACCAGACTGAGACTGACCTCTTCAGGTGAACTGGTCCACTTATTTTGTGAACACCAGGGTTTGCATGACAGTGTTCTCACTTGTTCTAACAAACTGCACCAGGGCTAGTTTTAATCGCACCAAACCTGCCAAGTGTGAACTCATCCTTACACGCCATTACGCTGTCAGTGTCACTGCCGTGCTAAGAATGGTTTACAACCCAAATAATATCTTGTCAGCAGTCTCCCTATTGTGGTCCCTGTCCACTAGTGGATGGGGAAGAGGGTAACTAACAAACTGTGCAGCAGCAGATGAGCGACTAGAAACTATATAGCTATAAAGAACATCTGTGTATACGTGTGTGTGTAAAATCATAGCACATACCACATGCTCCACTGTTGCACCTCTTCTCATGATGATTGGATCACCGAAATCTGGCCGTTCTATATTATGGGAAAGTCAAACAACAGTAAAATAATTTGTGCCATGTAAGATTAGTGTGAGACAAATACTGTTACAGTTGTTTGTAATTTGATTATACTTCGAACTGTTATATAACAACGTATTAACAACTCATTATCACAGTCCTAACCGCACTGGTGCCTTAATTACCAAGACAAACACTGCATATGGAGTAGACACGATGATCTACAGGACTCAACCTAGCCTCTCATAAGTGAATATAGTGGGTGCCAACATCATCCTGTGAATACTGTAAAAAACAACTTCTAATTACTATAGTGTGTTAGTGGTGTGCGATCTGGCAAGAACATAAAATCACTACACTTTTCTTTGACATTTCCTTGATGCACGACATGCATGAATACAGCAACATTTATTCAAGATTTCACACATTGCGCTGCACTAAATCCAATTAAATAGGACTAAATGCACTCTTTTTGTACTGAAACATGCTGTTGGTAAGTATTAACGACATGAACTGGAACACAGATTTATTGCTCCATGCACATATGCCTGATATCAACAGTAAAATCATTTTATCAATTTCAGCATGTAGAACTGGAGCTTTCGGTGCGCTACAGTGTTTTCTGTCACTGTATACAAGATGCATGAGGCTTCCTCTCTTTTTTTTCCCCAAACAAGCTCACAGGCTCATTCAGTGCAATCCGGGTCAGTAAGCACTTAGTACTGTTTTCTTTAGTCAAGAGTAAAGATAAAGTAACAGATGTGTGATTTATACAATAAATATAAACTCAACAGCGCTGAGAAATTATTGTATTTTTATCACAATAAAGATAAATATCACCATACTGCCCACCACTAAAGTGTGTGTATTAATTATTTCCAATTAATATAGAGCACATAGACAGACATCAGTTAGTGACTGGACAATTAAAAGATTACCTCCTCTCTTCTTGGTGTACAAACAAATCAGAGCCAGGTATTCCCACAGCTGTTCCAGGAGGTAGTCTAGATTCAGTTTCATGCCACAGCTGATAACCACACTATTGGGTCGACGGGCAAGACGATCTACTTCCTCTATTGAGATTTGGTCCACTTTGTTGTACACCTGTGAATTTTCCAAGAATAAGCATTCACTATATTCCCAGAGATTTTTAAGTTACTGTACATAAAAAGCCAAATGTAAGAAACAAGAGCAGTTAAAATGTAACACGTGCCAGTGAGACTAAAGATGCAGAGTGATACTCACATATAAGCAAGGCATGTACACTCTGTTGCCCACAATGACATCAATAAATTCGTCTGATGTGCAATCTTCCCTAAATAAAACCTCAGCGTTGAAGATTTCTAAAGAAGCACGTTAAGGTAATAATCCGTCTTACAAACAAGTCTAAAGAGTCCAGTAAGGATAAACATGATAAAGGATACTGTATTCATGGAGAATGAGTTGAACAAGCTTCTCGGAACAATGTGTAAGAGGAACAGTCGAATTGAAGGAGAGACCGCCACCTTTCTTAGGCTGAAATGAGAAGAGAATTCTTTGTATGACTAAGCAAAGTTAATGTTTAGGTCAGAGGATAAGTTACCAGCAAACTGTTAAAAACTATAATGTTTTTCTCCATACAGTGTGTCCTCATGTATTTGGGCAGGAATGCAATAAGAAAGACGTACCTTGAAATAAATGTTTGGTTTGAACCGGTTGAGTCTGATCCCTACTGATTCAAGCTCTTTTTCAAGAAGTTCCCTGAAAGAAAGAACACAGAGCGCTTTCAAACACTCCAATACACCAAGAGTAAGGTGGTTTTGCATGCTGTAAGAAACAACATTTACCTTTGAACATCTCCTTTGGTTGCATCCAACATCATGATGACCACATCCGCAGTTCTGGCTACAGCTATGACCTGTCTGCCTCTGCCCTTTCCTGTGAACAATGATAATTTATTAGACACAGATAACCAGTATATAAAATGAACAATTTACATTTGTACATTTACATTTATGCATTTGGCAGACACTCTTATCAAGAGTGAATTACAATTCATTAATGTTGCCTGTGAATGTAGCATTAGGAGTCTTGCTCAAGGACTTATTGGTGTAGTAGGCCTGTCACAATCATGACATTTAAGCTGACAGTTAATAGCCAAAATAGTTGTGATTAACAATTAAATTGTTAAACATTGTATGCAAATATTAAAGTACAAATTTGAAGTGGCCAAACTGGCTATCCTGCTTTCTGTCTGTTGATACTTACAAGCTCCCAACTGACAGGTGGCACATAAAAATAAACATTACTTGCCACTGCCCTCCTAATGCATTATAGCACATAAACACAAACATATAAACAGCAGTGGGAACTTTTCTCACATTACATTTACATGAATATGCCTCCCATCTTATAAAAATGCATCCAATACATGTTCTGAAGCCCAGTCTACTGTGAGGAAGGGAACAGTATTACCAATCATATTACACCAACTGCTGTTTACGTTATGTTCACACTGTGGAAAAATCATATACCTTGGGCAGCTCCTTCAATGATTCCAGGCAAATCCAACAGCTGTATATTGGCACCTTTGTACTGAAGGGAAAAAAACAATGAAATATATATGCTTCAAAACAATCCCCATCTCGTAGAATGGAAGTCAAATAATTTCAATGTCTAAAATCGGCAGCTACCTCAATAACACCCGGGATGCAGGTCAATGTAGTGAACTCGTACGAAGCAGCTTCACTTTCTGTTGACGTCATCAAGCTGAGAAAGGTCGACTGCAACCATAGCAATTTGTTAATGCAATGTGATGCACATCAAACTTTACCATGCTGACGGGACCATGACACTATGCATACAAGTGATACTGTAATTACCTTGCCAACTGATGGAAATCCAATCAGAGCCACCCTGGCATCTCCTGATTTCATTACATCAAAACCTTCACCTTTTGCTCCTGCTGATTTTGAAGGCTCCAAAAGCTGGGCTCTGTACTTGGCTAGCTTGGCTTTCAGCAGACCTAGATGGTACTCAGTTGCTGCAAGCATGTTCAACACAGATTAGAACTTGCTTATAAGTGTGGATGATGAAATATTGTTGAAAGATGATAAATCTGGCTGGCATATGTCAAATCGTGAAAACACAGACCATGCAGGGTGTTCTAACAATCTGTCCTACCGAGCCTGCACAAATCATTAGTACAGTGTAATAACTAATGTATCAAATCTTTTATTATGTTTTAATGTTAATTCTGTATGAGTCAGTTTATTATTACTACTAAGCCCCTAATAAGAAAAATCAGAATATCCTAAGTATTCTTGTAATGCTGGTAATGTTTTCTGATAAGGTGAATTAGGCTATCAAAATATTCTATCTATACATTTCAATGCTGGTGGCATTTTCTGATAGGGTGATGTAGGCTACCAAAATATCATATCTACAGCTCAATGTAGGGATCTACTCATAAACATGCGCTACGGTAGGACATTTTGACAAGGTAGCACAATTCGTCAGAACACCGGCCCATAATGAACCAGCAGTTCATACACCAGCTGTAACGGTAACGAGGAGTTCCTCTAACGTAGCTGACTTAGCTACCATGCTAGCTACCTTTGTTTTTCTGTGTCCGAGAGATTTCTCTCTCAATCTCGGCTATCTTCTCGAGAATCCCCATGGTCACAGAAGCGTGAGATCGTCAGAATAACCTGTGAAAGTGACAGCGGCATGAAACCAAACGCAACCCTGGGTGGACACACAGACAGACACACAGAGAGAGCTAACCTAGCGGGTAAAGCTAGCAGCAGGTAGTTCTTTTAGCAAACTTATCGCCCACTTTCATACGAAGGCCGCCGAGCAATGACATTTACAACACCAACATGATCCTCAGAACTAACACACAATGTTTAATTGTGATTATATTAGAAAGTGAAACTCACTCACAGAAACCAGAGCGCAGTGTTGTTAAAGTTCAACACACCGAACTCTGCAGCAGCAGCAGCAGCATGTCCCACTGATGACATCACCAGCGAGCAGGCAGCGTCGCGCGCTATTCTGCCCGGTAGAAACGGGGCTCGGCGGACGGGTCGTTCCTGTCTGAAACACACTAATTCCACACATCCCAGAATTTGAATTATCAGTCAACAAAATAATTTTATCGGACAATACGTGACGTCCCTAACGTCCCCAGAGAGGCAAAGAAATTTAGTGAGAAACTTCTGAGTTTCTGAACATTTCTAGCAGTGACCAGCCCAAAGGTGCGTAACAGTTAACGTGTCGCTGGAGCTCAGTACCAGTTAGCTAGGCAAGCTAACTCAATACAGACGGACATGGCAGCGCCGTCAGGCTCGCGCAATGCTGACAGTAATAGCACCGGGATGGAGGGCTTCCCTTTCCCTGCACCCGTCAAACAGTCTGAGGAAAGCTCAGGTAAAGAGCAGGGTGAGGCCGCAGGAGTGAGAAAGAAGCCGTGCAGAGCGTGTACAGATTTTAAGTCCTGGATGAAAGTTCAGAAGAAACAGACGGCCTCGGTCACAGCACAGGTGAGTGAGCTCACAGTGAAGTTGTTCGTCTTTGATGGTGTTAAACGCTGAGTCGAAATCAGGCTTTATTGACCAAGTATGTCCGCACAATCAAGGAATTTGTCCTCGGTTACACAGTCACTCACAATACACAGCGGCTGACAAACAAGAAATAGAAATCTTAAAATGTCACTTTGTTGGCCAAGTACATGTGCCTGTATTTGTCGTGGTGGGGCTGGTCCATAAATGGACAATACAGAATACATATAGTAAACAAATAATATCAATAAATACAAAGACACCACAGGTGGCAGCTAATCTGTATATGCAGAATGAAAATTAACATCCACATATACACTGACACGCACATACAGTACTGGGCCAAAGTCAGAGACCACCCTTCATTCGTTTAATTTACAGTCAAAACAAATACACATTATTAATTTTTCAGGAGATATATCTAGGGAAATCATATATAATGTAATCATCTTCAATAAGAAAGGGGAAAGGGAAAAACTTCCAAAGCTGGAGTTAAAAAAAAAAACACATGACAAGATCTGGGCAAGACCTGGTCGACCACCAAACCTCACCATCAGATAAACAGTGCTTAAAGATTTCATCTTTGAGAAAAAGGAGAAAATCAAGCTTCACTCTTGCTTCACATCTGGAAAAATCCACAGGTGTTTCTGTCCATCCTTCCCCTGTCTGAAAGCATGAGTCTGAAAGCATGTGTGCTTGTCATGTTTGCAAATCAAGCAAAAAAAAGCTGCTGGTGTTCTTAGAACAGTGAACTGACCACCCCAGACCTCCAGAACTTAACTTCACTGAATGTGTTTGGCATTACTTGGATTGTGAGAAGCAGAACATGCAACCAACTTCAAAGACTGAACTGGAGGTGTGGAAAAACATATCCCTAGAAGCTGTAATGAAGGCAAAGAGTAGACACAATAAATGCTAAAAAATGATATAATGTTTAGTTTTTGAGGGTTCTGTGTAGTTTTCTGTTAAATAAGTGTTTTATGCTTTGTATGCTTATACTTAATGGCTTAATTTCAATCTAGTTTTGACAAGAAATTAGATAAATGAATGGTAGTCTCTGTTCTGGCGCAGTATCATATTCAGCAATGCTGAAGACATTTATGTGAACACATAAAAAAGGGAATAATATGGGTAAGAGGTAGCGATACTGAATAAAATGAAGTAAAAATAAAATCATAATGAAGTGGCGACAGTTTGCTAGGATGTATGTGATGAACCAATTTAAGGAATTAAATCAGTGGCATACTAGTGAAACGGCTATGAAAAACATCGGGAAAAAGTGGAAATGTACGGACAATATGTGAACATTTCACTTCACTTACGCTTCCCTCTGATTCTAAAACCCAGGCAACTGAGGAGAACGAGAAACCCGTGGAGTGCCCCCTAGACAGACAAGAGCTTGGGAGGAGTACGTGGTCTTTTCTCCACACTATGGCGGCCTACTACCCTGATACACCCACCACAGCACAGCAGCAAGAAATGACTCAGTTCATCAACCTGTTTTCAAAGTTTTTCCCCTGTGAAGAATGTGCTGAGGATTTACAAACAAGGTATGCTAAATGTGATTATTTTGTTTGGATCATCACTAATTATGTTCTAGCGTTGTTGCATTATAGAGTTTTGAGGTTTGTTCCTCTGTTTTCTGCTTATCCATTTAGCTGAGCGACTGCTTTTCTTGCTGCATCATTTCTTATCTCTTGCCAGACTGAAAACAAACCAGCCGGACACCAGCAGCCGCCACAATCTCTCACAATGGCTGTGTCGTGTCCATAATGGCATTAACATCCGATTAGGCAAGCCAGAGTTTGACTGCAGCAGAGTGGACGAGCGGTGGAGAGACGGCTGGAAAGATGGCTCTTGTGATTGACACTGGCATACCCTGCACAGCTGACCCACCAGGAAAAATAAAACAGACCTATCAGTTATTTTGATCTTGTACCCTTTGGTCATAATAATTGTAACTGGTAGTGGCCATTATGTGTCACGTAAGTGTGTTATACATGATGAATAATATGTATGACTGGCTCAGTACAAAGATGTTGTATATTTTCACTGATGTATTTGTAATTCAGTCTGTTTGCCTGTAAAGATAATTAACTCTATATCATTGCTGTTTTTGCATTATTTATTTATTCTAAAAGGGGTACTGATGGGAATACGCCTTGCCACAGTGTTATTGTGGTCTTTCATATGCAGTGATTTGAAATAGAATAAGCATGACTGATACTTAAGTACAGTATATGTCCAAAAGTATATGTTCTTTCCAAAATCAAAAGAATGAATATGGAATTTTTCTTCCTCTTTGCTGCCTCAACTCTTAGGAAGGCTTTATACCAGATGTTGGAACATTGCTATGAGGATTTGATTGCATTCAGCCACAAGAGCATTAATAATGTTAGATGTTGTGGGTCATAAATGGCACTTCAACTCATCCCAAAGGTGTTCAGTGGTGCCCCATCACATCCCAGTGCTGGGGGCCCTGACCTCAATCCCACTGAACACCTCTGGGATGAATTGAAACATCAGTTGCAAACCAGGCCTTCTCCTCCCACATCAGTGCCTCTACTCTTCTGGAAAGGCTTTACACCAGATGTTGGAACACTGCTGTGGGGATTTGATGGCATTCAGCCACTAGAGTGTTAGCGAGGACTGGTACTGATGTTGGATGATCAGTTCTGGATTACATATGCCACTCCAGCTCATCCCAACCATGTTCAGTGTTGCTCCATCTCTCCAGAGAACGAGAACGCAGTTCCACTACTTCATAGCCCAATGGTGGGGGCTTTCTCCCCTCTAGCTAACTCTTGTCATTTGACATGATGACCTTAGGCTCATGTGCAGAGCTGTATTAATGATGTTTTCTACTGTGTGCACAAATGAACCCCCTATAGCAAACGCAATAAATACGGGGTGTCTGGATACTTTTGGACATGTAATGTATTATAAAGATCAGCTCCCATTGATCACATGCTTGCCAAAAACATAGAACCTTCCTGCACTGAGTTTGTAGCTGATGGTTGTACTGATAGGACGCTGACGCTAGATGGTGCTGTTGAGTCAGTTGCAGTAGAGCGTGTCTGGGAGTGCGCAGGCCGCTACCAGGCGGTAGGGTGTGTGTGTATACGGCTGTATTTATGTGTGTGTACCTATCTCGACCCACAGCCTTAAACGTGAATAACGGTGTGAGGAAAAATGGACGGAGTGGGGTCTTTTGGCGCTGGAAGAGCTGGGTCTGCATTCGACCCTATTTCTTTTATACAGCAGCCGCAGACCATTCTTAGGATATTATCATGGGTGAGTCTTAATTCATGTCATATTCATTGCCGTTCTGTTTGCCTGAGGCTGAGTGAGGATGCATATCACAAATAGGCTGTCAGAAAAACCCAGTACAGATGAGTAATTAGGCTACTTCGCCTTTTCTTTCAAATCGTGCGTTGTTATTGTGAACGCGATGTGTGTAAATGATGCTGCGGTCTGCTTTACGAACGCTGGAATAATTGATGCTTTTTTGTGCTGTAATTTCACGTTGGCTGAGCACACTGACGTATTGATGTGATCCAGGCTGTGGAGGAGGGATCGCGAGGCATTTCGATCTATCTCGTACTCCGTAAATACGGCGCCTCAGTGTTTTCTTCTGATTAATGATTTAATTTAAGACTGATTTGACGTATGAAAGCTGACCATCGTCTGTCCATTGCGGCAGGCGTGTTCTCTCTAACATGGGGTTTTTATTAGAAGCGATGAAAAATGTCGATGTCAAAGGCCAGCTAAGCACCTGCGATTATATCTCTTCTGTGCGCCCAACCATTTTGATTGGCTGTCACGATTACTCTGCACTTGTGGATCTGCATGATCTTGGAGCGTTTGGTCAGCTGAAAAATACCACCTTAACTAGGCCCACTGTACAGCGCGTCAGCCGAGCGTGTGTATGGGTGGGTGTGTGTGTGCCGGTCAAACTTAATCACTTTTGGTTTCTGATTATTCTGCTAATAAAAAAAAAAAAGAAATACTACACAATATGGTCCTTAAAGGTATCATTTAATTAATATATTTACATTGCAATGTTTTTAAAATCCAGTGTACTATAAAAGGCCAGGTATATGTCTGATAATATAGATATTATAAGTACCTTTATTATTATTATTATTATTATTATTATTATTATTATTCATAGCATTATTAGTGTGAACCTACAAGGTTTGATCTCAAATAAAGATGAATTTAAAGTGAAAAATGTCCAGCTAGTTATTAAAGAAGCATAAAATAGGAGAGTAGGCATGCTTGAAGTAATGTAGTAATGGTTAAATTTGTAATTTTGACTGGCGTGTCCCTTTAAATGCAGTGTATGCTGCTGTTTATACAGTAGTTTCATGCATCATTTTCCTAGCATACTATTGTTATATGTCATTGAGAGGTTTACTGTGTACAGATGTCTTTTGTCACCAGAATCAGCCTTCAGATTAGGACACATAATAAACCTTGACTGAGCCATGTGAGAGTTTTATTAATAATCATTGCCAGTGATCATAGCTGCTCCTTGCATCACAACTAGATTATGGGCCATAGTTGGAATATGTGAAGTTACATCAAGAATGCAGTAGAAGAGAGTAATATAATCTTCTTCATTCTAGATCTTCTCAATGGTGGTATTTGGCTCCATAATAAACGAAGGCTATGTGAACATTGGAAGCGAGCGGCTCTACTGTGTTTTCAACAAGAACTATGATGCCTGCAACTATGGGATCACCATTGGGCTCATAGCGTTTTTGGCCTGCATCTTCTTCTTTCTCCTTGATGTGAAGTTCCAACAAATCAGCAGTGTTAAAGACAGGAAGAAGGCAGTCATGTTGGAGATTGGCTTCTCAGGTAAGTTGTTACATTTTTTGTGTTGGAGCCACTGAGTTCACAGAACCTAAGTTGAAGTCTGAAACAGTCTAAAAATGGAACAGAACCCAGGTTCTCTAGTTTATCAGTGTTTTGTCAGCATGTTTAGGTATGTCTAATGATCCATTTAAAATGTTTGGTGGAATTTTTCAGGTTTCTGGACGTTCCTGTGGTTTGTTGGTTTCTGCTTCTTGGCTAACCAGTGGCAACGTACCACACCAGACGAACTGCCCTTGAACCAGGGAGCTGATGCGGCCAGAGCCGCCATAGCCTTCTCCTTCTTCTCCATCTTCACCTGGGTTAGTCCTGCATAAACTGCTAGGAAAGCCAACTAAGCATATAAACTACTGCAATAATTGCCACTCTTGGCTTCATAATCCCGAACGATGAGTAGGAGGTAGACAATGACAGGCCAGGCAGAAAACAGGCTCAATAAGGTCTAAGAATAACATCATGACCTATCTAAAGTACATTAGATTGCTCTACATACAGCTTTCAGTCTGCAGGGGGGTGTAGAGCAGCATCACCTCATTTTCCTTCACAGTGAATAAAGATGAGTGGGATGTTGAGTGTTGTGCCATGTGCCATGTAAGCTTAGCTTCACCTCAGGGAGGCTCACACTAATTTATGCACCTTGCTGCATGAGCAACAGTGACAGGCTCCCAGTAAAATTGTTTCTTTTCTAATCTGTTACATTTTTTTCTTTTTCTTATTTTTCATGTAGGTTGCTGGTTTAGGGGATGCATATTAAACCTACGCTTAGACTAAAATTAATTTTCATTGGTGATTCACCAGTGGCATTGCGATGTAGTCTAAAATTAGAGTTAAAGTGATAGATTGGCAAAAGATCAAATTTACACAGCTTTCTCTTTAACCCAAATGTAGCTGTTCAGGCAAAAACTGCTAGGTTTCCAAAGTTTGTATGGTTAGTTTTGCACTGGAATACAGAGATAATGAAACTAATAAAGAGTTAAAGCTTATACCTCAAGATTTAACATTGCCTAATGCTTGTCTAAATTATCACATACTTGTATGACATACTGTTATCTACAAAAATGGACAAAAGACATTCCATAGCTAAAATAGTAGTAGCAGCCATCTTGAAAGTTGAATTTCATCCATAGTTTTGTCCATTTTATAGACATCAGTACATCATGCATTGCTAACACCACATACATGTTCAAATCACTGTTCAAAAGTTTGGAATCAATGTTTTCAACTCATATGGTTACAGATAAATGTATAAAATTATAATATTATAATATTCTCTCAGTCTAATATGGTAGTACTTTGCAACTTCATGGGTTTTTAGTATTTGGTAAGAAATTAATTTGGAACAAATTTGAGTCTTCTACGGTAACAGTAATTTGTTTTTGCAGCATTGTGGTAATGTTTGTCTTCTTCCCAGATTCAGTTTCTTAGCCAATTAGATTAAATCTCCTCTAATATCTCCCAGTACATCACTCCATTCATGTTTCCTTTGATGACATGTAATGCCCTAGTACAATTTGCAGAGAAGCAGCCTCATACCATGATGGCCCCTCCTCTGTATTTCATTGTGAGTTGAATTATTGCCAAAATGTTATATTTTCTTTCATCTGACCAGAGTGCATTGTTTCAAAGCAGTTCTGATTTTGTCTAAAGAGAGTTTGAGAGCATGTAAATCTTGCGTGGCTTGCATGTTTAATAATGTTGTCCCTGAGAAGTTAAGGAAGCTCCTTCACCTTCACTGTGATTGCTGCTTGTTGCATGAAATCTTCCCAACCTATAAATTTAACAAAAATACATACATATTATACAAAAATAAGTACATATTTCACCTTGCTGTAATTTTGATTCCAAATAGATAATTGCATTATTCTTTTAGAATTTTTTTGTTGTTCCTAAAACACTATGAATATTTTTTAAAACACTTTTGGTATGTACTTTATGATCATATACATCGTTACTGAATCTTCCCAACCAATAAATTTAACAAAAATAAAAGATCAGAATATGTTTCTCTTTGCTAAACTTTGATTGCAAATAGATAATTACATTATTCTTTCAAAATTTCTTGTTGTGCCTAAAACACTATAAATATTTTTAAAACTGCACTTCATGATCATATCATCATTATCGAATAGAAAATAAAAAACATTTTAATATGACAAGTGATTCCAAACTTTTGAACGGTAGTGTAGGTAAGTCTATTTGAGATTATTTAACAACACAATCTGGCGTGAAGCAAGTGTGTGATTAGGCATTAGGCATTGCATTAGACAGGCAGTTTGCATGCCTAAAATTAGCTTCATAGTTCCAGTGAAAAACTAAAGAAGCAAACCTTGGACACCGAGCATCTTTTTGCTGATCGACTACATTTGTGGTAAGAGGACAGTTACATTTTTCACTATTACTATTACTTTAATGCAGTATGGGAACTAGAGGTGCGCAATATATTAAAAATGTAATATCATAGTACTTCAAGAAGTTTTCACGATACACAATATTTATTTTTGAAAGTTGGAACAGACAAAATAGAATTTCAAAAATATGAAAAAACTATTAATACAATGATTTGCATTCAGTATTTCACATGCTGCTCTAAATTTAATTAACCTTATCTATATATCTGTACTGGTACCAGCACACTGCTGTCAAAGTGTTCACTTCCGGTTATTTAAACAACATTTTTATACATCAAATTGTCCAGTAATTCAGTGTACCATTAGAAAGCTTGAAATCTCAGGATTTGATTCTTGCAAATCATTTCATGATCTGTTATTTACAGTAGTTAAAATCGTCTTATTTGTAGCATAAGCAGCAAATGAGAAAATGCTAGCAAATCTGTGGGCCCTTACATTCAAAACCTTGCCATTATCTACAGACACATCATAATCCAAAATATGAGATCTTGATAACATGGCAAGAGTCAGAGATCAGTTTGGAGTCAGGCAGAAATAAACTCCCCCATTCTAGCTTTTGTTACTCTGTGTCAATAAATCATAGAATACTTAAGGTTAAATAGGCATACTGATGCTCTCTTTGTAATCAAACACGCAGCTGGGAAGGATTTTTGGGTACTGACGATGTCATACTGTGACATAATTTATCATGATATCAATAAATATTGCCATATTGCCCAGCCCTAATGGGAATGTTTTTTTTTTTTTTACAGTTATTTGACATCAGCAACTTGACCTGTAAAAGTTCATAGTATTAACATCTTAATCACATCTTCTGTTTCAGGCTGGTCTGACCGTGAGAGCAGTGCAGAAGTATCTGCTGGGAACTGACATGTCCCTTTTCACCACAGAACATATGGATGGCAACCAAACCATTCAGCCATACCCCACCGGGCCTGCCGCAGAGACCACCGATACGTACCAGAGTCCACCTTTCACTGAGAACCTGGATTCTAATGCCCCAACCTACCAGGTTCCAATTTACTAAAGAGGTACCAATCAGGATCCATGTGCAATGTACCTGACCTGTTAAAACTAGTACGAATGGAGGGAGAGGCTCTGGCCTTTCTTCAAGCTGACATGATGTGACACTGTTCATAGGTAGTGCTGTGCTGTGACCTTCTGTACAAGAGTTTGTTGATTGTGATTTCACTTTTATTTGGGTCTAAATGGGTAGTTAAACCTTACTTCATCAGGTTGAATCGGACAGAAGTAAATAACACCACCCCTGGGTGTGATAGAGGCTATCGTGGTCCTTCTAGGTCAGCAAAACGAGGAAGATTCAGACTAGCTTTCAAGAGATAATAAATGCAGTCAGCTGAACTGAAAAACGCCTTGTAATAAAATGTCAGTGCTGTTTAGCTAATGGAACAGGAAAATATGCATGTACAATATATTATTCAGAAAGCAATTAAGTGCCATGCATTAAAAACAATAACTTGAAACAATACTGTAGCTATCCATAATCTGGTGGGAAAACGAAGTGCAATATTTCGAATATATTTATGAAAGCGGTCCTTAAATTATATTGAAGTACAATGTTTACCAGTTAAAAGCTGCCAAATTGTCTGTTTGTCTTGGAAGGATATTTCAGAGTGCAGTCTTCCTCAGAGAAGGAAGCCTGTGGAGGCTCCATTGTAGATAACCGTGTCTTACGTGTTGAAGATTATCTCAGTGTAGCAAGCAACCTGCCAATTCAGTGTTTTAGTGAAGCCAATACAGGATTTTGCATCTGGATAAAGTGTGCTTTTAATTTGAGTGTATTTTAGTAGGTTAGGATGTGTACATACCACAGACGGCATTACCCCAAGTTTACACCCCAAAGAAGGAGTCCAAATCCTAGCACTGATTAGCAATGAATGAATTTTGAATTTGTAGTAATTCTTGACTAATAGTGTTAAAGTCTCCAGTAAAGGCTCAGTCTGGCACATTTAAAACAACTGAAACACTTTAAAGGGGCATTCCAGGCTAAAACTAGAGTTTAATATATTATTTGTAGTGTTATGCAGTAGTCTGTAGCGTAGCATTGTATCCCCTCAGCCTCATCGGTTGCTCACCAGAGACAAGTGTTTTACCTTTTCAGTCGGTAAGGCATCTAGCTAGCCAGGTAGCTACCTCGCTAACTTTAGCTTTTAGCTTGTTGTGCTCTTCAACTGACGAGGCATTTCTGTCATTCAAGTAATCAAGTAATAAAATGAGTGATTCTTTCCATTTCAAGATACTTTATAAACAGTACTACAGTTATACGGCTGTGATAAGATACCTAATGTCTTAGCAGCACTGTTAGCTATCTGGCTTCCTTCTGCACTCTTCAACTAACAGAAACCAGTAAGTCTACCGTCCCAAAAATCCACCTCAGAGCAGTTGTAGTTTTTCAAAAGTTTCTCCCACTTTCAAAGTACGTAATAAAGGGTTTTTATAGTCCTTAAACCGTAAATGTTCATTCTATAGACTACTGGGACACTGCTGTAGGATACAAGTAGGCATGTTTAATGTTGCGATAGCCACATTTTTCATTTATGCCCGGAGTGTCCCTTTAATTCTGTAAGGAGAATTGTATTAGAAAAGCATAAAAAATTCAAGAGATCAAAATAAAGTCATCTGATGAACAGGATTACAAGTAAATTAAAACTGCAGTACTTTTTTCAAGCACACAAGTCAGTTGTTAAAATGTTTGGTGACCATCTTCAGTGCTTCGTCTGATACGTGGTAGAATATCACTACTGTTTCTGTGTTTTCGGATAGGGAAGCATACACAAAGTGATACTGAATGTAATTCAATACATGACATGTAAATGGAATATGTCTGTGAAAGTGGTCAGGGTTTTTGTGTTTCCTATACTAACGCTGCACTTAAAATAGTTAGAATACTGTCTGGTCCACTACATCAATGCAGATTCACTACAGTCTGTAATTGTTGGTATAAAGTTCGCACCACTGAAAGGGTAGGACCTTCGAAATGCTAATTTACACAAAAATTAACATTTATGTTTTTGTTAGCAAAATTTGCGCCAGTAAAAGGATTATAAATATAGCCCAGAGATTTTTTATTTATATTATACTGTAACCTCTGGCATCATAGCCCATCCTGTGTGTTACTGCTGTATACTGAAGACTTACTGTTGTCAACTTGAATGTCTTTGGACTGCAGTTGTCTGACATGAAAATAAAAGACTTGTTTTTCATGAGAAGAACTGATCCAGCTTCAACTTGAGTGTTAAATAAAATGTTTATGGGGAATTACTGTGAAGGTGGGAATATAACTAATATATATAATATATATATTAATCTTGTCCCAAAAAAAAAGATTTTTCTTACAATTATGTGTGCCACAATTATTGGCACCTCTTAAGAGTGAAATCTATCTTAAGTAGATTCCCATCCATTCATGTTTTTAAGTTAGCAATTAGGAACACTTAAATGGTCAGCCATGACTTCCTGATTCACTGGGGAATATTCACTGAAACACAAGCCAAATTACCTCAGTCATCCATCACTATGAAAGAGACCAGAGAAAACAGCAGTGATGTGCAACAAAAAGTTGTTGAGCTGCAGAAATCAGGAAATGGCTCCAAGAAAATAGCTAAGCTAGAAGCTTAAAACAACTGGAGATGTTAAGAATCTGCTGGGAAAAGTACATATTTCTATACTGACCCCACACACAGTGAGGTTCAAGTGGACACAGAATCTCCAAGGATCACAGATGAGGAATTGCAGTCAGTAGTTACACACTTTGAAAAGGGTTCTATAGCACCAAAAATCATTCTTCTATTATTACAAACTTGACATCATAACAATAGAAGAACTCTTTCAGAAAGGTTCTATATAGAACCATCTACAGCACATTCTACATCAATCTGAACAACGCTTTAATCATGATTCAATCTGTGATGTTCTGGAGCTGTTTTTCTTCCAAAGGCCCTGGACAATTTATTCAGATACAAGGTATCACAGACTCCATCAAGTTCCAGCAGAAATAAAATCAGAACCTGTCTGCCTCAGCCTGGGAGCTTAAACTGGACCACAGTTTGGATCTTCCAGCAGGACAATGATCAAAAGCATACCTCAAAACCAAGACCAAAATGGTTTACTGGCCACAGAATTAAGGTTTTGCCATAGCCATGTCAGCCCCCTGACCTAAACCCCAAAGAAAACTTGTTGTATGAGCTGAAGAGGACAGTCCACAGTGTGGATCTCAGAATCTGAAGGATCTAGAGAGGTTCTGTAAGGAGAAATGATCTTAACCATGTGTTCTCCAGTCTCTTTAAGTATTATAGGAGAAGACTGTTATCTTTGCAAAGGGAGGCTGCACAAAGGATTAAATGAAGCAGTACCAATAATTGTGGCACACACAGATATGAGATTTCCTGATGTTTTTTAAAAATCATCGTGCTTCATTGTGAGGTTAATTTTGTTACTATTTTAAATTAATTTTTCTATAAAATAGTTACATATATAATATTCTGAATAAGCAATAAAAAATGTATATCATAGCTTGTTGTGCCCATATATAGCCATGTAGTCTCCATAGACAAACAATGTCAGTAGAATGGGTCCTACCGAAGACTTCAGTGACTTTAATGTGGCAATGCCACCTTCACCACGTCAGGTCGTGAAATATCTGCCCTGCTAGATCTTCCCCAGTCAACTCTAAGTGGTGTTATTGTCTAGGAGCAACAACAGCTCAGCCATATAGCGGTAGACCACACACACTCACAGAGCTAGTGCTGAAGTGGATAGTAAATACAATTGCCTATTCCCTTTTTGCATTACTCACTATAGGGTTTCAAACTGCCTCTAGAGGCAATACCAATATGAGAACCGTGCATCAGGAGCTTCATGAAATATTTTCATGGTCAAGCAGCTGCACACAATCCTAAGATCAATGGACAATGCCAAGTGTCAGCTGGAGTGGCGTAAATGCCACCACTGGTCTCTGGAGTAGTGGAAATGTTCTGTGGAGTGATGAATCACGCTTCACTATCTGGCAGTCTGATGGACAAATTTGGTTTTGGCGGATACTAGAAGAACACTGCCTACCTCAATGCATAGTGCCAAGAGTAAAGCTTGGTGGAGGAGGGATAATGGTCCGGGGCTGTTTTTCAGGGTTAGGAGCCCCTAGTTCCACTGAAGTCTATGTTAATTCTACAGCATACACATTTTAGACAATTATATGCTCCCTACTTTGTGGCAGCAGTTTGGGGAAAGTCCTTTCCTGTTCCAGCATCACTATGCCCCACTGCACAAAAAGCTCCATAAAGACATGGTTTGACAAGTTTGGTTTGGAGGAACTCCAGCGGCCTGCACAGAGCCCTGACCTCAACTGAACACCCTTGGGATGAATTTAAATGATTTTAGAAATTTCAACTGAAATTTCAATTGAAATTATTACATTGAAATGACTGAGTTGCTTGCAAGCCAGGCCCTCTTATCCAACATCAGTGCCTCTACTCTTCTGGAAAGGCTTTACACTAGATGTTCGAAGCTTGCTGTGAGGATCTGATTGCATTCAGCCAGTCAGGCTGAAGTTAGGTATTAATGTTGGATGATTAGTTGTGGATCACAAACGCCACACCTCTCATCCTCAAGGTACTGTATAGAGATCCAGCTTTATATCCCTGTCACTTACACTTGGAATTGGGCTTTTTTTAATGTAACTACAGAAGTCAATATCTTACACAGGTGCAATCATATTGCCATTTTTTTCCCCATTGTCATTGTAGATTATTTTTGAATAGTTTAAAAAAATCATAACAGATGTCCTCTTAATGGATCTCAAACCTCAAGGCCCCTGAGACAGTCCACATTTTTCATCACTATGTACACTATATAAGAGTTGGACTGGAGCAAAAAATGTGGATTGTCTAGGGGGCCCTGAGGACTGTTTTGAGAACCACTGCATTGTCACATTTTATTTTAGCTACAATTCACCTGTAATATTACCTAAACAAGAAATAATAGTGAAAGCTACAAGACAACACAAACAAGTGCTGAGGTTTCATCCTGAAAGGAGCATGACGCACTGTATCAAATGACTGTCAAGAAATGAAAAAAATACACGTTGCCCTTATTGATGGTTATGTTGCAGATCATTTTGCGAAGATTCAACAGCACATCAGTCCACCACTCCAGCAACAGACTTGGTTGTCAGAAAGATCACTTTTCAGCAGTCACATGATTTTTCTTCATTCAGATAAATGTACCCCCTTTATTATTTTTTGTGGACTTGAGAAACAGGTAAGCCATGACGTCTTTCATAGTGAAATGTTGATAGATTTACAAAATAAATAAATTTCAAAATGCAGCAAACTAGAATTAGAAAATGACCATGCTAAAAGCATTGGTAGAAACCTGATGAAAACAATTTTAGCAAAAAATCCAGAGATGCTGGATTAGGAAATAATGGAATATACAGTAGTAATTAATACTTTAAACTAAACATCCCTTCAGTTACAACCTCACTTTTTCAGTGGGACAAAAAGACCCTGATTAGTCTTTACCGTTCAGCAAAGCAGTTTGATGGACAGTTATTTTCCAAAAATTCTTGCTTTCTTACAAATGTTCTAGTCACACCGCATAGTGTGGTCTTTTAGCAGAACATCTCTCATCCTCTTAAACATCTATGACCTTGGGAAGGCGTCAGTCCATGTGCTGGGGTAGTGCCCCTATTACTGGCAGTTAACTGATGATCTTGCTTATGGCCTGGAGGGAGGGAAAGTCATCATCTCCGATATGCAGGGTTTTATGGGCATTGAAGTCTTTGAGGGCCAACACCTGCTTGCAGGTAGGACACACCTGGCAGTCCAGTTCGAGGCTGTTGTTAGAAGTGCCTGTCTGCCAGGCTTTCTTTTTGTTTTTCGTGGGCTTGGAGCCTTGCTGCTGTTTCTCCAAGGCCTTAAAGTCTGCATGGGCAGTGAGAAGCTCCTGCTGCTTCTGTGTGTCTGGGAGGAGAACCAGCAACTCATTGAAGACCCTGTTGAAGTTGTCCCCCAGCAGCTCCTGGCAGCTTTTGTGGTACTGGGCTGCAGAGATTAAACCCTGGTGAACACAAGAGAGGTATCCATGAGCATCCAAAAGGGGGAATTGTTATGCTATGTAAGAGTAATAAAACATCAAAAGTCTACCATTTCCCTCAATGAATCAGAGACCCAAAACTATAAAGTAAAAAAAAAAGAAAAGGTCTGATTCATCCATTACCTGTCTAAACTGGCCTGAATAGTTTTTGAATTCAGTGAACTTGGATTCATCGTTTTGGAGGAAGTTTTTTATAGACTGAATAAGGTCCATGTTCCTCTGTTTGAAGTTTTCAGGTACATGATAGGTTCCAGGTGACTGCGCTGGTCTGAAATAGTAAGTACCCAAATGAGAAACATACAAACAAAATCTTGGGCAAAAAATAATAAAAATAATGTTAAAGGGATAAAGCACTAGAGGTCTGCTACCCAACCCGGGCGATTTTTCACATACAACATTGAGTTATTTTTTTTTGTAGTGGATTTATTATTTTGAAGGATTGTGTCTTTGTGAACTTTGCACAGTCTCACGCATTTTCTCATAAGGTCTCTCTCCTGTAATATTATTTAGCTACATTCAGAATAGCTCTGGAGTTTATGCAGTGAGCGAACGTGTCCTGAATGACACCTTGATTGATGAGAGAGATGTGCTGGGCTGGTGCAAAGATCCCAGCAGATCTTTCCATTTGCTTAAGTTTGCTCAAAGTGTGTTAAGCATTTCTGCAGTAGCAGCAGTAGTGAGAGGAACTTTAGTGCAGCAAAGTCAACAGTTAATCAGAGGAGGCTTTATCCCAGCATGACATTTTCTGTCCATCAACTCAAGTAGTAAAGCAAAGCACTGTAACTGTAACAACTGTCTGTGGTATGCCTGCTAACCTGTTAAAAGCTGGCACTGTAGATTCTACTACATTACTGTTTAGTGGGACACCAGTGAATCCTGGAGGAGGCTTGCTAACTGCAGGACCAGCAAGCCCAGGAGGGGGAGGAGGCAGCCCAGTCTGAGTGTTCTTCAGTGGAAATGTACTTTTAAAGCCTAAAACACAAACATAATACAAAGTTAGTTAAAAGGTTGGGACATTGCCAAAATGACAAGTTGCATCTGTAAGATTCATACCAGGTGGGGGTTTCTTCGGAATAAGTGCAGGGAACTCTTCTTCTTCTGTCACATGGCCCGGGTTAGATATCGGCTGCTTTTTAGGGGCAGGAGGCTCTTCGGGAAGACTTGCATAAGAAATAGTTTTCTCTTTATATCCATTAATAAATGTGCTTGTTTTGGGGGCCACAGGGCCTTTGGAACCACTGCCATCTGGTGGCTTAGTCTCAGGAACATTTTCTTTGTGAGACACGTGGGTCACCAATTCCACATTATGTGAAGATGTCCCAGAGGAGTTGATCGTGGCTTGCTTCTTCTTTTTACCCACTTTGACATTTGGCTGTGAGCCAGCTTTTACCGTTAGCAGAGATGAGATCTCCAGCATAGTGGGTACAGCACGGATCTCCTGGGTTGTTTTACCACTTTGGGGATCTTCATCTTCCGATGAGATTGGAGATTTGATTTTAGCGGCAGCTTTGGCGCTTTCTGAAGAGGTAAGCTTTTTCTTACGGCGAGAAGAAGTGAGGGCCTGAGGAGCGCTACTGGAGAGTGGTGGATCACTGGCAGAAAACATAGAGGCAGAGAGTGCAGGAGCTGCCTTAGTTGGCAGAACCACAGGTTTATTGTTGGGCACCACAGGTTTACTTCCTGCTTGGGACCAAGCAGATGTTGTGTTCCCCTGGGGCTTTTGAGGTTTAATCTTTGAGACGAGTGCTGGGAAGTCTTCCTCTTGAAAGGAGGAGGGTTTTTTAGCCTGAGCCATATACGATGCTGTCACTGTAGCTGAAGCCACTGTACCAGACTGTACCAAGCTAGGGAAATCATCCTCTTTCAGTGAGACAGGAGTGGGTTTGATTGTGCTGCAACAAAGAAAGCTTGTCACTGTGCAGTTTAGAAATCATTTCAAATGTCCAACATATACAGGAATATTTACAAACCATGAATACATAAACCATGTCTTAGCACTATTAAAAAACACTTAAACTGTATACTGAAACATACCTCTGAATCAGTTGGGGTGGAGCACCAGCCCCTAAAACTGGGAAATCTTCACCCATGAGCGGAACATTACTCTTTACTGATCGCCCTGAAACATTAGTTTTTAAAAATATACGCAATTCAGAAATGTTTTGTAAAATTTAAGCTACTTTTTCACTTTTATATATACATACAGGCATATAGGTCTCTATACACAGCTCTCTTATATGCATTATAGACAGTATCTAGAATAGCAATTATACAAATAAGACAACATAGCAATTTCACTTTAAACATCTGCAAAACAGGACAACATTGAGATCAAATGAAACAGTGATTTACAATAAGTCAGAAATTCAAGTAAGAATTTTTTTTTAACTTGCTTGGAACCTGGAACTAACTTGTCAATATAAATTCAACATAGATGCAGAACACCATTACGATCCTCAAGACAACACAACAAAGCCAACAGACAAAATGCCTTAAAAATGGGAGTAGTCAGAACAGATCAGAGACCATCTACTCCTGTGGCTTCACTTGCTTATGGCAATATCTCTGCCAGAAAAATAGGTTATAGATTTATGGGGAAAAAAACGAACAAAACTACCACTGATTAAACAACTGTACAACTGTTGCTAAAAGTGATGCACTTATCATAAACTTGTATGGCTGATTTCAATTTTTTTTTAAGCAAACTTCATGGACAAGCAGATATGCTCATGAGACAATCTAAGGTAGACAGATGTCAGTTCTGCTACAGAACCTAATTTTCAGTTATCACATTGCACTGCTGCCTAGTGCCTAATCAGTCCACCTGCAGTGCATCTTTCCCAAACAATTGTTGCTACGCTGAAGGTAATCTGAACTAATCAAACACATTGTTAGCATGTGTGTGTGTGTGTGTGTGTGTGTGTGTATGTATATATATATATATATATATATATATATATATATATATATATATATATATATATATATATATATATATATATAAATAAATAAGATAGGGCTTTGGAAATTTACATTTCCACAGGAAGTGCAAAGAAGGGTCACACTCTAGCACAGTGCTACATGATCCTAGGGCAAGAGTTTTATTATACTTATTATCTATACGATGTTCCTGATTACAGTGAGCACATGGTCTGCATGTCATCTATAACTTTCTGCTGAATTAAAGGCCCCTAACTAGGAAGATTTCCATTGTACCTGCACTTGTAATGCTTACATGGCAAAATATTGTGAAATATAGTGATGTGTGGAGGAACTATAACATCCATCTTTCTCAGTGAGAATGAATGTTATTGCATACAATCAACCACAGAGTGGAGCACAAACTATTAGGCCTCACCTCTGAACCGTGTTTTTGCAATGTACACTTCTGTAACCAACAAGGGACAATCAAAGTCATATGAAAGAATCCACAATGTAGTTCAAACTCTTTGATTTTTACCTTGTATGTCATTAGGAGGCTTGACTGCATTTCTACTGCTTTTTAACTCATCTGTGTCCATTTTCTCCTCTTTGCGTGGTTTTTGGTTGCCTCTCTCATGAACCTGTCCTCTCTCCTCCTGTCGACGGGCAGCCTGCGAGGCCTGAAGGGCAGCAGATAAAGCCCTATCCTCCTCCTCCCTGCACATAACAACTGCATCTCAGTATTCAGCAAGCTCTGTGAAATTAAGAAACACTGTGATGAGACCAACTTACCGATTATACCTCCAGCTTCTTACATTCTGGTGTGAGCCTGGGGCTCTACCTCTTCCAGATCGTGCTTGTCTGTTGAACCGGTCTACTTCCTCATAGTCTTCCCCACCAACGATACCTTGACAAGTTGTTCAGAGCATGCTACTCAGTTAAGATCTGAGAAAGGTACAAAACAATGACAAAAATAGATCATACTTTCTGCCCCACTCACCGTCATTCCTTCTCTGCTGTCGTGGGGCATAGGTGAACTGTAGATCAATTTGGCGGTTCTGCCGTGCCTCAGCCCGGTTCTTACTATGGGCAGCAGCCTTGTGAGCCTTGTAGTCAATCTCTGTCCGAAAAGCATGCGTGAACTGTTCTGTGCTACAGCGACCTTCCTCACACAGGTAATGGCTCTCTCTGAAGTGCTCGCTGAGGTACTGGTAATCACTAAACAAACAAAAGCAATAATTAATTTGTAAAATATTCATCCATGAAGAAACTAAAGATGACAGCTAACAGAAATTGGGAAATACCTGTAGTATTCCTGTGCTCCATCCGCATCACAAAAATGGCAGAAGTAGTGGTCTCGCCTTAAGTGCTTAAGCAATTCATCGTTATCCAGGTATCTATCATCACAGAATTTGCAAAGTGGATGGCCACGATGAGACGTGTCATCTGGGTCCCCTTGTGTTCGATGTCGAGCCAAGTCCTTGCGATTGTACCACTTCCTCTCATAGGAGAATATCTGAGAACATACACAAAAAGAAAATGATTTCCAAATACAAATCAAAAGACCAAATCAACCAATAGCTACCAAATTACATCACGATATACTACCTTTAAGTGCTTAGCACATAACTTGCAGCAAAAGAGCTCATGCTGCTTCCGCATGTGTTGCTCCAGCTCCTCAAATTTGGAGAACACTTTGGGCTCAGGACATTTTGGACATTCAGACAGCAAAATCCTCCTTAAGTTGGTGAAAAAGGTATAAATGAAGTTAGAAACTAATGTGGACAGTGGAAGTGAAAAGAACTGTCAATTTCTATGGAAAATTTTGAATCACCTGAACTGTGCAAAGATTTTTCCGTCACAGAAATAGATGTCATATTTCTTCTCAAACTGGTATTCATGATGAGGTAGAGCAGCAAACGGTTGAAGTTTTTTTACAAAGATAACCTAAGAGAAACCAAATTAAAGTAGACATTTAACAACATAAACTATTTAGGAGTGACTGAGATAAGAAATAAGAGATTCACAAGCGCCAGCACTAAGAGGGGATTAAGTCAATTAATCACGTGTCTGATGTGCTGCTCATATCCATACGGTGTTGACTCAGCCTGTGTTAGTCTGACACGTTGGGCAAGTTTCAAACTGGAATAATACTGCTGACTGGGGAATTACAACGAACCTCGCTGATCAACTCTGATTGATTGATAACTTTTTACCAATATTGTCAGCTACCTACACTGGTTTGCTGAGAAGGGAACAACTGACATCTTAAGCAGACTGCCAAATAAGGGAATAAACCAACCACAGTAACGTTAGTTTACTTGATTCAAATAAATGAAATCTTAAATGTTGAGGAAAAATAGGATCGCCAGAAGTGCTAAAAGTTATTTTTCCAATAGTTGTAAGACTTTAGCGAACAACATTCTCTCTGATTATCTTAAACCTCGCTAACAGTGCTTTTGGTAAACTTGGTTCTATTTAGTTCAGCTCACTTAGCCAGCTAGCTGCAGTAGCTAGGTAGCTAATTAGCGTTAGCTTACATGTCAAGCGTTTCAGGTTAGAACTTTGGCCAGCTAAGCTAAGCTAAGCTAATCTGCTCTCACAGGGTAGCGAAGGTTAGCCGAGCTAAACTGTCATAACGCCGCTTTCCTTCGTTAGTCCTTCTAAACGCTCATGCAGAGCAAGCGGAGTTAACGAGCGAGCTGCCCATTTTCTCATAACCTTCAAATGAAATCACGGCCACCCAGACAGATTTCGAGCTCACAGCTAGCCTGTGAGGCCTGCGATGAGCTGGGTGAGTCTGTGGTCCCCGCTCTGACCGTGTGGATGTGGTGGGGGGAAAGGCGGCACCTTGTCGAGCTCCTCGCGGCACACAGCGCAGTATCTCTGCTCACACAGCACCCGCATCTTGGTGGAGCAGCGGTAGCACACCGGGTGGTCACATTTCCCTACAGCGAAGATGTCGATGTCCTGGCAGCACAGCACACAGACGCTCTCGGTGTCCTTCTTCATGGTTGTTTCCATAATTGTTTTCTGAAAAGGCACAAACTCTGCGGTGTTTTGGTTTTCTGTCTCGGCACTGAGCTCTCAACAGCAGCGGAACGACTGCTTACGTAATCCCCAGCACTGGAGCATCATGGGTAGAGAGCTGACGCGAGTCTTCTGGATAGATTTTTTTTGCGAACTGTAAAAAAACAAACAAAAAAAAACTACTGAACAAAGTATCGGCTGAATAAAACGCGTGAACTACTGGTGGCTCTCCTAGCAGCGGGACCACCTCCCTAGATTAAAAACTCTTCAAATCTACAAACTCATTTATTTCTAAATATCATTAATAGGGTGATATTCGGTGAAAGACGACGAGTCTTCATTTGAATGTACTGCTGCTGTTAATCACTGCTTTTATAATGTACCGTAATCTAATTACTGTCTTTTTACTGTAACGGATTTCTTTGGTATCCTGATTACGTAACGCCGTTACACGTATTCCGTTACTACCCAACCCTGATAGTGGGTGTGTGGGGCGGGGAGGGGCAAAGTTTTACACTAGATGTTGGAACATTGCTTTGGAAGATTTGATTGCATTCGGCCACAAGAGCATTACTGAGATGAGGTACTGATGTCAGATGATCAGTTCTGGATCATACGCGCCACTCCAGCTCATCCTAAAGGAGCAGCATCACTCCAGAGAACACAGTTAAACTGCTTCATGGCCCTTTGATTGGGGGCTTTATAGCCCCCTTGCCGACACTTGGCATTGGGCATAGTGACCTCAGGCTAATGAGCAGCTGCCCCAGAGCATTTAGAACATGCTCTTAGAGAATGAGTCTTTAGGGGCTATAGGCTCCTTTTACAATCATTTTCCTCAGTTGAGCTTTTGAGCTGTGGGGGAGTCATGGTGTTTGTTCAGCAGCAGACTGTTTTTTTTTTTCCTGACAGAATGCCTGAAGTTCCCAGTTTATGGTACTAAATGTGAAGGAGCTCATTTGAGTTTACTGCACATGCAGTGTGCAATATTAGAATTTGCTTGAAAGTTGATAAAATCCATGCCAATATCTTCATTTCAGGAAATGTGTAAAAATGAAATTTAATTCTTCAAATATTTCAGCAGTCAGATGCGCCACTAACTGAAGAATCACTCATATGCTAAAGATTCTACATCTACTGTTGTTTAATTATTATTTATATAAAATCTTCTTTCCACCAAATCCAGCTAGACTTTCACTGGACTCAAACTGAACTCTCAAATATATCAGCAATAACTATTCACATTGGCCATGACCACACCTTCACTACACTCACTGTTTTATTTTCCACATTACAGGGAAACTAACAACTACAGAAAACGAAACTAACATGTAACTTTCTTTTTAAGTCATGTAGTGCCTGCCTGCAGTAGCAGTATTCTTAACCAACCGACAGATTAACTTTGAAACAGTTGACGTTCTTCAAATACAAAAAACTGCATAGAGTTGTGATGGAACTTTTATTTTAATACAAAATACATAAATAGAGCATCTGTAGGTGGGTTCAGAGGCAGAAAATATTTGTACACATACAAACATCTTTATGGACACAAACAAGATGAAGCGACATTGAAAAACTGCTAGACAAAATAGGGCAGTAAGCTGCCAAAAGATATGCAATTGCATCTCCCAATCCCTTTCTGATAATGATAGGAGATCTGAAACATGATAAAAGAAAACTGACTTTTTTATCCTTTGTTATGTATTTCCCTGTCCAAGTGGAACACATTATATTTAACATTCAGAGAGTTCAAACGATCCATGAAAAGGACCATGACTGCTCAGCCATTAGGCTCTACAGCTTACTGCCACTACGTACCCACAATAGGCACATTCCTCTAAACATTTTTTTGCAACACCACAGGTTTGGCAGTTCGAGGGCAGCGAACAGTGAGGGAGCAAAAACACTAATCATGACATGATGCAGATAGCATTTCTCCTAAAAGATCCCAAGTTACGTGTGTCCTTTTAGCAGTGCTGATCACTATCCCAATAGTGAAGCATTAAGCAGCAGATGAGACAGATTGGAAAGGGACAGCGCTTGCATGCAATTCCAACATGCAATGTGCTGTCTATGGCACCAGCTATTTCTGGAGAATAAGTCTATTTTTTTAAACCAAGCTCAGTTTGTGCTTTTAAGTGGCAGAAATTATAGGCAATAAACACGCCTCTGTGTTCAGTGTACATGTGCAGAGCAATGTTAAATGCATTGTTCAAACCACTGATATAAAGAGCCCAAACAAACATAAATGTGAAAGTATGAATGTGTGCAAAGTCCCCTTAGTTTCTGTATTCCAATAACACAAGTTCTCAAAAATAGATATTGTATCTCTTTGCATTGGTTTGCAAAGAGATAACTAAAACAGAACATCTGTGAACGCGTTTGACAGTTATGGTAGATTAGTGGGTTAGCAAACTAACTTTGGGTTCATCTTAATGCAGCATCCACTTCAGCTCTATAAAGCTGCTCTGTGTTAATGACCGCTATAAACTGAACATTAACCCTAGAACCCTGCTTTGTAGTAAGCATCCTGCCAAGTGATTCAAACTCAACAAACTCACATAGCAATCTTCCTCAGATATGTTCATCCCTCAAAGAATATAGCAACTTCTGTTTTATGAGGTAACTCTTACCCAGGTTCAATATAATTTCTAGAATCTTCCTCTTCTTTCAACCTTACACATAAATATAAAATTTAACAATTGTTCAAACAGGTAAACATTCATATATCTATATATGAGTTTCTCAAAGAAAGTGTTACCATAACTGCAGTGCACATAAAGAATAGACGGCTTCTCAAGGGTGACGTAGAGTATCTGGGTAGTGATGCTCTATTGTGTATATAGACTCTGTTGTGTCTGAACAGTCTATGCAGGGGCAGTCCTGAAGGTGCTCCAGGCGTGGAAACAGCGAGTAAAGCAATGAGGTTCGTTGCCTTTGCGCACCAGGCGCAGCTTTCTCGGGTGCTCAGCATCCTTGGACCTCATGTGCTGAATGTAGACCTGACAAATGACAGCGAATGTTATAACAGAAAAAAAAAACAACTTATGAAACCACACTGCAGTGTTTTTTTGTTAATGGGTAAAGCTGTGGTGGGCAAAGTGAAGGTGATCTCACCTGACAAGCCTTCAGACTCAGTTTGATCTCCACCTGACTTGTCTGGGTGCCAACCCACATGTACACCTGTTAAACAAACATAAGCCACCATGTATAGATCAAGAATAAATGCAATGTGCCTTTGACCAAAGGTCTACTTTGTGATGTTAAATAAGCATGTGTCTTTACTTCTTTGCCATTGTCCAGGAGCATAATGTCATCATCAGCCAAATCATCTTGGCAGAAGTCAGAGCATTTCTCTGATACAGAAAAGTAGCCCTTCTCATTGGAGCACCTGCAGATAAATGACATTGATTCATTAAATGTTATACATGTTGAAAGCCGTTCAATAAATTGAACAGGTTAAAGCAGGGCTACTAAACCTGACAATTAAGAGGACAGTTGAATCAGGTGTGTTTAAGCAGGTAGATCACCAAACTGTGCTGGGCACTGGCCCTCCGTGACTAGAGATGTGCACCCCTGGGCTAAAATAACAAAAAACAATTTGAAACTCTAACCTGAAAAGCCTGGCATATTTCATGTACTCTGCATCTTCATCATATGGTTTCTGTGAGCCAATGCCAACCCAGAAGAAGTTTTCTGGTTCTTCTCCCTCATTTATCACCTGCGAATATGGATAGGGTAATCAAAATCCTGTTGTCGAATCCATATCATATTGTTTGTGTAAGGTCTTCCCTAATAACTGATTCAGATATGTACCTGCTTGCTGTAGGTGTCATCAAACATAGAGTTCATAATGTCCTCTGCCAGTTTAGCTTCATCTGGGTCTGCAGCTCTGCCAACCCAAGTATACACGATACCCTGATTGTCTGTACTCTCAAACGGCACCTGGAGAGGAGGAGCACAATTGCAATTAGAAATAGTGAAAATAAAACTATAAATAACTGTTTTTGCTCCAAACAGGGACATTTCTATTTGTAAAGTGAAGCATCAAAAAGACAAAATTTTAAATAGGATTATGTATGAATGTAAAATTTATACAATAACTAGAAATCGTTTAGAAATCGTGGCTCGGAGCTACATGAAGAATGTCTACATTTCAATTTTACTTAAATGTATGATGATTCAAAATATTTCTGTATGACATTTCAAGATCCGGAAAAAAAAACTTTCTTTGAATAAGCCATGTTCACATGCTTCCAGTCCATTGAAGGTGTGGTCTAATCTAAGAGTTTAGATTTTTTGCAAATGCTTAACAATTGCCTCATAATTAAAGTTACTTGCTAATCTGCAACTTCGATTGGGAGATCATAATTTCAACCATCACATATTTAGCAAGTACATTTTATATGTTTTCATTATTTAATAAATACTATAATATTGACAGTAAGTTTGAGCAGTCATCCTAGGTGGGAGGGGAGGGTATGCGTATGTAGGCGTAGGCCTAGGCCCTATAGGCCCAACAGGCCCAACAGGCCCAACAATACCGCCACCACTGCTAGTAGGCAACGCATCACAGGAACCAAAATAACAAAGAACTTGTGTAAACTCCATTAAGAACATATAGAGTATTACCTTCAGTATGAAACAGAACTCAGAGTTGAGGTTACTGGAATCAGTGAGAATCTGGATGGTTCTACAGAAAGAGAAAAAGAAAGTTAGGCACATTCAAATGTAATCTTTGGTGTTAAAAATCACTTCATCTTCACACGTTTGTGTAATATAGTGACCTGGTGCAGAGAGCACTGCCATTTGTCCGGATATGGTACAGGCTAGGCTGCACGTTGTCCACTTTAAGCTTCCTCTTCCCTTTGTGAATGATAAACTTTCTCTTGAAGTGTGACAAAAACTTGAGGTTCTCCTGCTGCTGGGTCATCCTAACAACCTGAGGCATGTCCACATTTAAAAGTTACTTCAGAATATATTTTCTGAACAAAAAACTTTAGCATTAACATTAGCACATTAGAACTTTTTACAATATCACTGAGAAGATCTCTAAAAGAAAAATAACAGGATTAGGAAAGCTCTCATAAATATATCAC